GACCTCGTGATCCACCCGCCTCGGCTTCCCAAAGTGCTGGGATTACAGGCTTGAGCCACCGCACCTGGCCAGAAAATTCTTAAGAAATGCGAGGGAGGACTCAAGATGGCGCTGTGAGAACAACCCAGGATTGGAGCTCTCGTTGAATCTGCAAACGGTGAGTCAGAGCTGCATTTCCAGACTGGTCTTTGTTGCCCACAGAACAGGGAAACTCCCAAGTATAAAAAAGACACGGGACGCCAGGCAGTAGGTCTGCCTGGCAAAGCCGGCAGCTGGGGCGGCGGCGGCCGGCCCTACCCAGCAATCCCCACAGGGCGCGCTTGTCTGGGTGCCCTGTTGAACCGGCAACCTGAGACTTGAGAGGGCTGGTCTTGAGACTGAACGAGACTTGGACAGTAGGCCAGCCCAGGGGATTGCAGGGACAGATCGTTTGGGACACCCAGTGGGACGAACAAAACCGCGATTTCAAACTATCCCGAGCAGACGGTCCGAGACGCTCTGTGGGGGAGGGGCGTCCACCACTACCGAGGCAACTGGCCCCAACTGAGATACACGCCCACTGCTGACACAGCCTACCGTTGCCGAGGCAACATGCTACAACGAAGAGACTCCGCTGCAGGGCATGGCGGAGACCACAGCAGAGCCTGCAGGAACAGGGCGAATCACAAAACAGCAGGGCGGAGCCTCGGCAGCCAAACAGTGGCTAGTCTGCCTTCTAGCTGGGCAGGACACCTCATTGGACATCGAAAAATAAAGCCCGAACCCCCCAACACAGAGCATTTGAGGAAAAAAGGGTTTTTTAATGATCTCTGTTGCAGCAGAATCAAACATAGCACCCTAACAGCCCTGAATGAACAACAGAGCTCACAGCTCAGCAATTGAGCTCCAAAAAAGTACAGACTGTCTCCTCAAGCAGCTCCCTGACCCCTCTATATCCAAAAGACTGACATTTGGCAGGCATCATCCTGGGACAAAGATAGCAGAAAAAGAAACGGGTAGCATCCCTCACTGTGCCACAGCTGCTAGAGGTGCACCCCAGACAAGCAGGGCCTGGAGTGGACCTCAGCAGTCATACAGCGAAGGGGCTAGGCTGGTAGAAGGAAAACCAAGTAACAGAAATACTTCATCATCAACAATCTGGGTGTCTACTCAGAGACCCAATCAAAAAGTCAGCAACTACGCAGACGACAAGCGGATAAACCCACAAAGATGGGAAGAAACCAGCGAAAAAAGGAGGAAAACACCCGAAACCAGAACACCTCGCCTCCTAGAAAGGACCAAAACTCCTCACCAGCAAGGGAGCAAAGCTGGACGGAGAATGACTGTGACGAAATGACGGAATTAGACTTCAGAAGGTGGATAATGAGAAACTTTTGTGAGCTAAAAGAACATGTATTAAATCAATGCAAAGAAACTAAGGAACTTAAAAAAAGATATGAGGAAATGATAACAAGAATGGATAACTTAGAGAGGAATATGAATGAATTAAAGGAGCTGAAAAACACAATACGAGAACTTCGCAAAGCATGCACAAGTTTCAATAGCTGAATTGACCAAGCAGAAGAAAGAATATCTGAAGTCGAAGACCAACTCAATGAAATAAAACGAGAAACCAAGATTAGAGAAAAAAGCGCAAAAAGGAATGAACAAAGTCTCCAAGAAATGTGGGACTATGTGAAAAGACCTAATCTACGTTTGATAGGTGTACCAGAAATGGACAAAGAGAATGAATCCAAGCTGGAAAATACTCTTCAAGACATCATCCAGGAAAACTTCCCCCACCTAGCAAGACAGGCCAACACTCAAATGCAGGAAATACAGAGAACACCACTAATATATTCTGCAAGAAGAGCAACCCCCAAGACACATAATCGTCAGATTCAACAAGGTTGAAATAAAGGAGAAAATACTAAGGGCAGCCAGAGAGAAAGGTCGAGTTACCCACAAAGGGAAGCCCATCAGACTCACAGCAGATCTCTCGGCAGAAACACTACAAGCCAGAATAGAGTGGGGGCCAATATTCAACATTCTTAAAGAAAAGAACTTTCAACCCAGAATTTCATATCCAGCCAAACTGAGCTTCAGAAGTGAAGGAAAAATAAAATCCTTTGCGAACAAGCAAGTACTCAGAGATTTTGTCACCAGCAGGCCTGCTTTACAAGAGCTCCTAAAAGAGGCACTACACATAGAAAGGAACAACCTGTACCAGCCATTCCAAAATCACACTAAATGCTAAAGAGCATCAACATAATGAAGAATCTACAATAACTAACAGGCAAAACAGCCACTTAGCATCAAAATGGCAGTATCAAATTCACACATAACAATATTAACCCTAAATGTAAATGGACTAAATGCACCAATCAAAAGACACAGACTGGCAAATTAAATAAAAAGCCAAAACCCATCAGTGTGTTGTATCCAGGAAACCCATCTCACATGCAAGGATACACAAAGGCTCAAAATAAAGGGATGGAGGAAGATTTACCAAGCAAATGGAGAGCAAAAAAAAGCAGGAGTTGCAATTCTCATCTCTGATAAAATAGACTTTAAAGCAACAAAGATCAAAAGAGACAAAGAAGGCCATTACATAATGGTAAAAGGATCGATAAAACAAGAAGAGCTAACGATCCTAAACATATATGGACCCAATGCAGGAGCACCCAGATACATAAGGCAAGTTCTTAATGACTTACAAAGAGACTTAGACTCCCACACAATAATAGTGGGAGACTTTAACACTCCACTGTCAATATTAGACAGATCAACCAGACAGAAAATCAACAAGAATATCCAGGGCTTGAACTCAGACCTGGAGCAAGCAAACCTGATAGACATTTACAGAACTCTCCACCCCAAATCCACAGAATATACATTCTTCTCAGCACCACATCACACCTACTCAAAAATTGACCACATAATTGGAAGTAAAGCACTGCTCAACAAATGCAAAACAACTGAAATCATAACAAACAGCCTCTCAGACCATAGTGCAATCAAGTTAGAACTCAGAATACAGAAACCAACCCAGAACCGCACAGCTTCATGGAAACTGAACAACTGGCTTTTGAATGTTGACTGGGTAAACAATGAAATGAAGGCAGAAATAAAGAAGTTCTTCAAAACCAATGAGAACGAAGACACAACATGCCAGAACCTCTGGGACACATTTAAAGCAGTCTCTAGAGGAAAGTATATAGCAATAAGTGCCCATATGAGAAGAGTGGAGAGATCCAAAATTGACACCCTATCGTCAAAATTGAAAGAGCTAGAGGAGCAAGATCAAAAAAACTCAAAACCCAGCAGAAGACAAGAAATAACTAAGATCAGAGCTGAACTGAAGGAGATTGAGATACGAAAAACACTTCAAAAAATCAATAAATCCAAGAGCTGGTTTTTTCAAAAGATCAACAAAATAGACAGACCACTAGCCAGATTGATTAAAAAGAAAAGAGAGAACAACCAAATAGATGCAATAAAAAATGATAAAGGGGAAATCACCACAGATTCCACAGAAATTCAAACCATCATCAGAGAATATTACAAACAACTCTATGCACATAAACTAGTAAACCTGGAAGAAATGGATAAATTCCTGGACTCCTGTGTCCTCCCAAGCCTAAACCAGGAGGAAGCTGAAACTATGAATAGACCAATAACAAGGTCAGAAGTCGAGGCAGCAATTAAGAGCCTACCACACAAAAAAGCCCAGGTCCAGACGGGTTCACAGCCGAATTCTACCAGACACACAAAGAGGAGCTGGTACCATTCCTTCTAAAACTATTTCAAACAATCCAAAAAGAGGGAATCCTTCCCAAATCATTTTACAAGACCAACATCATCCTGTTACCAAAACCCGGCAGAGACCCTACAAGAAAAGAAAACTTCAGGCCAATATCCATGATGAACATAGATGCAAAAATCTTCAATAAAATATTGGCAAGCCGAATGCAACAGCAAATCAAAAAACTTATTCACCATGATCAAGTAGGATTCATCTCGGGGATGCAAGGCTGGTTCAACATACGCAAGTCTATCAACGTAATTCACCACATAAACAGAACCAAAAACAAAAACCACATGATTATCTCAATTGACGCAGAGAAGGCATTTGACAAAATTCAACAGCCCTTTATGGTAAAAACCCTCAATAAACTCGGTATCGATGGAACGTATCTCAAAGTAATAAAAGCTATTTATGACAAACCAACAGCCAATATCATACTGAATGGGCAAAAACTGGAAGCATTCCCTTTGAAATCTGGCACTAGACAAGGATGCCCTCTTTCACCACTCCTATTCAATATAGTACTGAAAGTTCTAGCCAGAGCAATCAGGCAAGAAAAAGAAATAAAGGGTATTCAAATAGGAAAGGTGGAAGCCAAATTGTCTCTATTTGCAGACGACATGATAGTATACCTAGAAGACCCCATCGCCTCAGCCCAAAAACTCCTGAAACTGATAAGCAACTTCAGCAAAGTCTCAGGATATAAAATCAATGTGCAAAAATCACAAGCATTCGTCTACACCAATAACAGACTTAAAGAAAGCCAAATCAAGAACGAACTGCCATTCACAATTGCTACAAAAAGAATAAAATACCTTGGAATACAACTCACAAGGAACGTAAGGGACCTCTTCAAGGAGAACTACAAACCACTGCTCAACGAAATCAGAGAGGACACAAACAGATGGAGAAACATTCCATGTTCATGGTTAGGAAGAATTAATATCGTGAAAATGGCTATACTGCCCAAAGTAATTTACAGAATCAACGCTATCCCCATCAAGCTACCATTGACTTTCTTCACAGAACTGGAAAAAACCACCATGAACTTCATATGGAACCAAAAGAGAGCCCGCATAGCCAAGTCAATTCTAAGCAAAAAGAACACAGCGGGGGGCATCACACTACCGGATTTCAAACTATACTACAAGGCTACAGTAATCAAAACAGCATGGTACTGGTACCAAAACAGAGATATAGACCAATGGAACAAAACAGAGGCACCGGAGGCAACACAACATGTCTACAACTATACAATCTTTGATAAACCTGACAAAAACAAGCAAGGGGGAAAGGATATCCTGTTCAACAAATGGTGTTGGGAAAACTGGCTAGCCATGTGCAGAAAGCAGAAACTGGACCCCTTCCTGACACCTTACACTAAAATTAACTCCAGATGGATTAAAGACTTAAACATAAGACCTGGCACCATAAAAACCCTAGAAGGAAATCTAGGCAAAACTATCCAGGACATAGGAGTAGGCAAGGACTTCATGACCAAAACACCAAAAGCATTGGCAACAAAAGCCAAAATAGACAAATGGGACCTAATCAAACTCCACAGCTTCTGCACGGCAAAAGAAACAGTCACTAGAGTGGATTGGCAACCAACAGAATGGGAAAAAATTTTTGCAGTTTACCCATCTGACAAAGGGCTGATATCCAGAATTGACAAAGAACTCAAACGGATTTACAGGAAAAAAACAAGCCCATTCAAAAGTGGGCAAAGGATATGAACAGACACTTTACGAAAGAAGACATATATGAGGCCAACAATCATATGAAAAAATGCTCATCGTCACTGGTCATCAGAGAGATGCAAATCAAAACCACATTGAGATACCATCTCACGCCAGTTAGAATGACGATCATTAAAAAATCTGGAGACAACAGATGCTGGAGAGGATGTGGAGAAAAAGGAACACTTTTACACTGTTGGTGGGAGTGTAAATTAGTTCAACCATTGTGGAAGACAGTGTGGCGATTCCTCAAGGCCTTAGAAATAGAAATTCCATTTGACCCAGCAAGCCCATTACTGGGTATATATCCAAAAGAGTATAAATCATTCTACTATAAGGACACATGTACACGAATATTCATTGCAGCACTGTTTACAATAGCAAAGACCTGGAATCAACCAAAATGCCCATTGATAATAGACTGGATTGGAAAAATGTGTCACATATACACCATGGAATATTATGCAGCAATCAGAAACGATGAGTTCGTGTCGTTTGTAGGGACATGGATGAATCTGGAGAACGTCATCCTCAGCAAACTGACACAAGAACAGAAAATGAAACACCGCATATTCTCACTCATAGGTGGGTGATGAAAAATGAGAACACATGGACACAGAAAGGGGAGTACTAAACACTGGGGTCTATTGGGAGGAAAAGGGGAGGGCCAGTGGGAGGGGGCGGTGGGGAGGGATAGCCTGGGGAGAAATGCCAAATGTGGGTGAAGGGGAGAAGGAAAGAAAAGCACACTGCCATGTGTGTTCCTACGCAACTCTCTTACATGCTCTGCTCATGTACCCCAAAACCTAAAATCCAATAAAAAATTAAAAAAAAAAAAAAGAAATGCTCCTCACTTCCTTCCTTTCTACTTCACAGGGCACACACTAACTCTACCAGCACCCTAGTTAGTGTCATTCATCCACCGTTGTGGTTTTTTAGTATGGTACCGTTCATTTGCAGGTAACTTTCTCATTTACATTTCCAATCTAGACTTATCTTCTAAATATCATGAACTTCCCATTCAGCATCGCTGCTCAGATGTGCCATTAGCATTTAGAACTCACTATGTCTCAACTGACCTCTATCACCCACCTCCCAGCACTTATGCCGGTGTGTCTACAGGCAGACACATGCTGATATGCATGTCCAACACAGACATGAATGCTCACACACAAACACACTTATACTGAAATCACCCTCCAAAGTTCCCCTTATCAGTTAATGCACAGCCACCCGCATTTGTTCCTCCTAGGAACTTGGGAATCCACCATGACAAATCCCTTTCTCCCACCCCTGCATGCATCCTTCTCCAAGGCCTTTGGATTCTATTCCCCAAATAAGTCTTGAAGGCACCACTCTTCCTCTTGGCTTGGGACAGCCTTTTCAAAGTCATCATTATTCCTGGCCTGGACTTTCTCAACAGCCTCCTAACTGGCCTCTCCACTTCTCATTTGCTTCTTTTGCTACTATTTCAATCCATGTCCCACACACCATGGAATGAGCTTTTTAAAACATAAATCTAATCATGTCACTTCTTAAAACCATCCAAACTTAGAATGATGCATATGCTAAAGGTGATTGGGAAAGGACCCTCTGAAAAAGGGATATTTAAGCAGCAACCTCCAAGATGAGCAAGGGGACAACCAGAAGAGAGACAGACAAAGGTACATTGTACTTAGAGGGAACAACAAGGGCAAAGGCCCTGAAGTATGAACATTTGAATCCTTTAAGGAAAGAAGGGGGCCCATGTGGTTGAAGCACAGTGAATGAGGCACAGAATGTTGAGAGATGGTGATGGAGAAGGTAGCAAAGGCCCGGCCATACAGGACCCTTTAGGTCATGAAATGGGAACATTCATAATTGTTTTATATGCATGCCCTCAGGCCATAGGCTCTACAGAGCAGCATCCATGCCTGCCTGGTCCCCTTTGTACATTTGTTCCCCATGTCCACTTCAGTCCCCGGCACATCTTTATGAACTATAGGATAAACAAATACCCCCAGCATTCCAGCCAGATCAGGTGGCTAGCAATTCCCCAAATGTATCTTGTCTGTTTCCTCTCCTAATGGTCTTGTTCTTGTCTAGTGGGGAGGTTCTCAACCAAGGGTGGTTTTGTCCCTGGGAAACATCTGTTAATGTCTGAAGACATTTGTGACTGTCACAACTGTGGGAGAGGGGATGCTGCTGTCACAACTGTGGGGCAGGGGATGCTGCTGGCATCTGATGGGTAGAGGCCAGGGATGCCAGTAAACATCTTGCAGCAGATAGGACAGCCCCGGCAACAAATAATTAGCATGCAGGGTCAACAGTGCTGTTTGATGAACCCTGGTCTAGCTTAGTCTACCTTTCCTTGAAGCCCCCTGGGAACATTGTCTTTTTTGGAAAGTTCTTCCTTAGATCAAAAGCTTGAGCTTGGGCCCCCTCATCTAGGATCTTCATACTTTCTTGATGGGATTTATCCCCTTGTCTTGCAGTTGCCCATTCTAACTGTCTCTCACTGGAAGCATCAGAGGCTGGAATATGTCTTCCATCAGCATGTTGAACACACAGTGGACCTCAATTAATTTTTCTTGAATGAATTCAGCCCCCTGAGACAGGGAGAAGGGTGAAGATGAATTTGGTGGCAACACTTAAAAATGTATAGTTGACAGAGATGAACTCATAGGTTGAAAGGACATCCCCAGCCTCCTGCTCTACCTTGAGAAGCTGCCTGTCTCCAGGTGTCTGTGCTAGTTTGTAACCTACGGAAATGGCAACTTCCCATGTGACCAATCTGACAGCATGGTTCATTCAATTAGTCACTGCATTCAATTTTGTGTCTAATCCCAATAACATAAAAGATGTAGAACTAAGGCATATGACAGATCTGTAGCAGTGAAAAACAAAGGGCTAAAGAGTCATTTGCAGTTGGCTGTCTCATGAGCCACAGCTACTTAGCAAGTGTGGACCTGCCTGATCCACTGGCAAAAATAGAAATCCCTCTGGCCATGCATTTGTGGGTCTCGGATGTTGTGTCTGCCATCAGAAACACTCAGAGTCCTCTTGTGTGGGTTTGGGTTTTGAAATGGACCCTGGTGGAGATGCTGCGCCTGGGGCAGGAGGCAGGCTCTTTCCAGTCTCCCAGCTGTCGCTGCTCTGCACTCCATGCCATTCCTTTTCCCCAGCCCTCATCCTGTCTCCCTGACTGAGTGGCTCTGACACTGCTGGCTAGGGAAGGAGCAGCCCCAGGCACTGGAGGTGAGGGCAGGGGTGGGCATCTCCCCTCCAGCTCACTGCTGCTCCTGCTGCTGTGCTGGGAGCACCTCTCCTTGGGGCCAGGAACATTTGTTGTTGTCTGAAGGGCTCTGCTCCTCCTCTGACTGCTGGTCATGTGCTTGGCCCTGAGCCCGCCTTCTCTCCAGCATCTCCTCATAAAAGATCTGGCAGCTGAAGCCCTCCTGGATGCCATGCTGCACGTGCTCCGGCAGAGCATCCAGGAAAGGGAAGACTCAGCAGCAGGCCAGGCAGCGCAACAAATAGTTCGTGGTGACCAGCCAGTCCAGGGGCTCCCGCAGCTCCTGCAGGCAACACTCCAGTAGCTCCGTGTCCTCAGGCTCAGGGCCGCAGTTGCTCTTGCAGGCCTCCAGGTCCCAATGTAGGTCAGTGTTGGAAGCCATCTTGAAGGAGGAGCCTTTCCTCCTCTGCCTCTTGATGAACTGGGCTTCATGGATGCGGGGCTTCCTGCTGATGGGCTGGAAGCTGGCCTCGGTCTCCCAGGCCACTACCATCCCCCACACAGTCTGCACGTGCATGTAGAAGGCACACACACTCTGCGGGGCAGTGTTGTCCTCGTTGCACATGCAGGAGCAGCACGACTGGTACTGGGAGTAGAACTGGTACTCAGAGGACTGTGAAGATGGGGAGCTGCTCCAGCCCAGCATCCCCAGGGCCCTGGCAGCGAAGTAGAGGCCCTCCTCCCAGGGAATGGCAGGCTCTGGCAGCGGGTGGGGTGAGTCTTCTTTCTGTATGGTCCCTGAGAAGCAGAAGGACATTGTCATCAGTGCCCCCCAAGAGATCAGTGTCACATCCAGGAGCCACAGACTCAGGGAGCTCTTCGGCAGACACCACTCCCTGTGCCCATTTCCTGATAAAATGGAGATGATGATAATGCCTGCCGCACAGAGTGTGGTAATGATTGAATAACGTATGAAGGCAATCACCAAATCCTTGACTCCACTGTGAAAGACCATTACATGGTGAGTAACAGAGTTATAGACACATTAAGGATATGATGATAAAGATCAAATAATGTATTAATCACCGAAAACTTGACTAGAGCAAAAGACCATCAGCTGGGGAACAGGTAAGCAGACGGTGGTACATCAGACAATGCAACCTGTTATATCTGTGAACCACTGAGACGTGCAACATTCATTATGGATAAATCCTGAATACATTATGCTAAATACAAGAAGCCAAACAACAAGGCATGTAGTCGTGAGAGAATGAACAACAAGAAAAAAAATAAAAGCCATGCAGCGTACGATTCCATTCAGAGGCCATTCTAGAAAAGGCAAATTTTTAGGAACAGAGAACAGGTCAGTGGTTGCCAAGATCTGGGGATGGGGTGAGGGGAGACTGCCCATAAGGCACAAGGGCAGTCTTTTAGGATTTTTAGGATTCCTGAAAATGTTCTTTATCGTGAATGTATTGGTGGTTCCACAAATGTACGTGTCAAAATTCTTCAAATTGTGCATTTAAAATTGCTGATGTTTGTGTGCATAAAAGACACCTCACTAAAGCCCATTAAAGAAACAGCACGTGTAAAATGCCTTGGCCAGGCCACCCAGGCTCATTTGGGACCTGTCTTCACCTTACGCAGTGGTCATCTCACCATCTCCTTCAACATTTACTGTGTACCCCTCGCCATGGAAGTGCTTGCTACCTGTTAGCTCCTTCAATATTCAAAACAACCCTAAGAAATTATATTATTAGGATTCCCATTCAACAGAGTAGGGAACAGAGGCATGGAGTTTGAATGAGCGGTGGAGCCACTGGGCCCCCAGAGCTGGTGTGACACTTAGGTGCCGTCCACAGACTCATCCCAGTGGTCTTCAAACTGATGTTCTAGATTAACGTTCATCAATTTATTACAAAGGAATTTTTAATTTTGCTCCTGAAATCACAGGATTGACATGTTAATTGTTTTCTCAAATACACATTAAAATAAACACATAATTATAAACATTTTACATTTTCATCCACATATCCCCTGGAAACACCTTATATACTCACAAGAACAGCCTCAGTCATACCAAGTGTCCCATAAATATCAGTTTCCTTTCCCCTGACATGTTTGTTTACGGTCAACACAACCCTTTGGTAACAGTAACAGGAGGCAACCTGGCAATGCCCCTTCCCATCCGGGCTTCCTCCCAAGGAGCACACGTGGCTGACCTTCCAGGCCTTTCTTTTGACCTATCTGGCCAGCGTACTTCCACACTCTCCTCAGCGGACTCAGGGCTCATCAAGCTGAGGGTCGTCCCATCGGTAGGTGACTGTTCTCCCCTGTGGTCCATGAAGTGGTGTTTCATGATTTGAAATGAATGTGCAGGGTCTTGGTGCTCCAGCTGTTCAGTGAAAGTTGGCTGGGGCTGTACTGAAGCCCTCCAGCTGGCCCTAACCAGAATGGACAGTGAGCTCCCCATGATGGCTAAGATGCTGGCTCAACTCTATGACCTCATCGATGGCACTGTTCTGTTCTGTGACTCATGGGAGGGCAGAGACTGAACCTGGACACCAGGAGAGGCTTCCCAACGTGTTCTTATTTCCCTGTGGGACCTTTTCTGTCTTGTGTATGATCAGGGACACACACAAATGCAAAACGCTCATATTCTTCAATACTTAGACACACATAAAAACATAAACACATAAGCACAGAAACACTTGTACACACTTAAGCATGCATGGATCCACTGTCTTAGTCCACTTGTGTGGCTACAAAGGGATACCTGAGGCTGAGTGATTCATAAAAGAAAGAAGTATATTGGGCTCATGTTTCTGGAGCCTGTGTGTGAAGCATAGTGCCAACATCTGCTTCTGGTGAGGGCCTCAGGAAGCTTCCATTCTTGGTAGATGGAGAAGGGGAGCAGGTGTGTTTAGATCACATGGGTGAGAGAGGAAGAAAGAGAGAGTAGAGGAGGTGACAGGCTCTTTTCAACAGCCAGTTCTCATGGAACTAAGAGTAAGAACCCATTACCACAAGGATGGCACTGAGCCCTTCATGAGGGATTTGTCCCCGTGACTGAAACATCTCCCACTAGGCCAACCTCTCACATTGGATATCAAATTTCAACGTGAGATTTGGTGGGGACACATGTCCAAACTATGTCACTCACATACAAAGAACCATATACAATCACTCAGACACACATATACACTGGAACACACATGACACACACACTAACATAAATATATGTATGTGTATTCACAGACACACATAGATACATAACAGGCTCACACATACAAATTCACTCACATGTTTACTTAACCACACACACATTCATGCACACAAACTCATGCTAGATTAATTAACTACGACTGTCTGTACGTAGGCTCACTTACATACAGTCATCACCCAACATCAAATAGCCCTGCTTTCCAATGTGGGAAATATCTCCTTCTCTCCCCTATCCCAAGTCCCCACGCTGACCTTGTTCAGGCACCGGAACCCTCCACAGCCCTACCCCTCCCCTCTCCTTTATGCACTCCCTTGCTCAGTTCCTGTGACTCCAGCCATCTTGCTGCCCCATGGACATGCCAGGCACCCTCCCCTCCCAAGCTCTGGGCTCTCGAACTTGCTCTTCCTTGTTTGTGTTCCAGGCTCTCCTCTAGGTTCCTGTGTGTCTCTCTCTCCTGCCAGTCTCCTCTAAAACCTCACCCGGTCAGAGGAGCCTACCCGGCACCCCCAGGAAACCTTCTTTGGCCCCACATCTCTCTGATACCTTAGCCTGCTTTATTTTTCATGATAGCATTTACCACCCTAGGCTGTATATAATGACTCTGTATGTCATGGGTTTACCTGTATCTGTCTTCTCCTCCTTAGATTTAAGCTTAGGAGGATAGAGACTTCCTTCATTCTTTCACCTCATTATACCCCTAGTGTCTAGAATAATGTTTGACATTAACAAGCACTCGAGAAATAATGAGTCAACAGCTGATGAGCACGTTGGGCTGACAAAGGTGTCACTCCCTCTGGGAGCTGCCTTCTCTGTGCTCCCTGGATCTCTGCAGTTCCAGGGTAACTGGTTCTCTCCCACCAGGACTCTGGGAATTGCCTCTTCCTTCTCCACTTGCACAAACCACGCACGCTTCAGCCTCAGTCAGCCCGATACAATGTTCACCTGCCATCTCTCTGCTCCATGATACCCTGGCACTTCACTCATTTCCTCCACAAGCTTCTTACCACTTCCCTCTGTGGCTCAAAGGAGACTCTATGAGCCATGAGAGTCACACTTGAACTAAACAGGAGACTATGTCCCCTGGCTAAAAGAGGAAATAGTGTAAGTGCATCCTTTCTTAACAAATAAATACAGAGACTTCCCTCTGTGGCTAAACTTTTCCTTGGTCAGTCTCATCCACTCTATTCCTTTGAATCCCAAATACTAAACAGTTCAAATAGGTGATGGACTGAAAATAATCTCAATATTCTGTAAGCATCCTCCCCCACACTCAGCACCGAGGAATAGCCTCCTCTCCAGAATTCGAGGCCACTGTGTGAAGGAAGACACCATGGTGCTCTACTGAGCCATGAGAGTCACACTTGAACTAAACAGGAGACTATGTCCCCTGGCTAAAAGAGGAAATAGTGTAAGTGCATCCTTTCTTAACAAATAAATACAGAGACTTGCCTTACAAAAACAAGACTGGGCGGCCAGGACAGAAAATAAGTAGGTCAATGGGGGATGGAAGGCAGTTCAGAAAGAGATGACATCACGAAGAATCGCTAAGTGGTAAAGTAACCAGCAAATCTGGGAGGAAAGGAGACTCAGCCAACAAATGATACAGAAAGATTTACTTGGTATTTTTTTCTAATCAACTGTGGTCTCACTTCATGTAAAACAATTAAGGATATTTTCCTAATGGTTCAGAGCTTATGTTTTAGTGAAAAATGTGTAGAAAGAAAATATGTTAACATTTGTAATTACAGGGTGGTTTTTCTCAACTTAAACAATATTAATCTTCGCAAGCATTGAGAACCTTTGTCATCTTTTCTAATTTCACTGCTTTAAAAAACTCAGTTTTAATTTGCATTCCTCTGCTTTTCAGTGGAACTGGGGAAGCAAACAGAAAAACAGCAAATGAGCAAGCAGTTTCCAGGGGAAGAAATGCAGATGGCTGATAAACATGGGAAGATATGGAGTCTTGCTGTAATAAGGGAGCTACAACTTACAAACGTGATATAAAGTACAGCCTTTTTCACCCAAGAGATAGGCAGGAGTTAAAAAAATGGACGCAGCCCCGTAGGACATAAGGAAATGAACACTTTTATTCTCTGTTGAAACCGTGTACCTCACCTTTCTCACAAAGTTTGGTGGTACCCATTAAAAGTAAAAGTAGACATGCGTCTTCTAAGCAGTTTACTATCATCTCTTCCTAGGGAACCGTCACATTATGTGCTATGTACATAAATAGCACCTAGAGAAATATTTATTGCAGTGTTGTGTGTAATAGAAATAAAAACAGGAGGCATTCCTAAGATCCGTCAAATGAATAAATTACAACATAACCAAACCGTGGAAGACTACACCACAATGAAAAGAAAGAGATCTATACATACTGATGAGTGTTTCATGGTAAATAAAAATACAAGATACAAGGAATATATAGATGACCCCATTAATGTAAAAATTAAACACACCCTCAAACCACCTACGAAATTCTACATTGTCTATGTATCAAAAGGCACAGAGGAGATCTGAAAATAATCACACCCGAGAGAAAACAATGTTGACCTCAAGAAAGAGGAAAAAGATTAGGTGGGGCTGCATGAGACTGAATTTCCCAAAGATGGCCACACCAATCTATATCACAACCCATGTCCTCTTCTGATAGCATGACAGGGTCCCTCTTCCTGAACTGGGGTAGATTTGGTAACTGCCTTAATCAAAACAGAATGCACAAGAGTGATGTTTTACGACTGCCAGTGCAAGGCCGTAAAAGATGTGACTTCCTCCTGGTTTTATCTCTCCTCTCCTTTGGACTCAGCCACTATGTTGTGAGGAAGCCTAGGCCACATGAAGAGGTCACATAGATGTGTTCCAGGCAGCAGCCACAGCAGAGGTCTCAATCAGCCATCATACATGTGCTTAAAGGTGCCTTCAGATAATTTTGCTTCTCAGATGTCAAGTCTTCCATCTGGGGTCCAAGACATCACAGGGCAGAGTCAAGCCTTCCCCTCTGTACACTGCTCGAATTCCCCGCTCACAGAAATTGTGAGTATAAGAAAAGGTGTTTTACACACTAGGTTCAGGTGCAATTTGTTACAGGCCATGGTAATTCAATGCACTTTGATTTTCCCTGTAATGTTTAAATATGTTCTAGTGAGCTAGCTCATTGACCAGCATCTGTGCTCTGTGCATCTTCCTGGCCCAGTCAGAGAAAGACCCTGGGGGCTGGGCAAACCCTGTGGTTTTCCCAGGACAACCTGGGAGGATGGCTTCCATCCTCACCCCATAGGAAACAACTTACTAGATTGCAATGTTTATATACAGTTACTCTTGTAGAGACAAAAGCTTTACAGTGTGGGGCCCAAACAATGTTTTCCAAAGTCCCTTGAGTCAGGTTCTTCTTTCCCCAGAATCTATACATGTTCTTTCTAATCCTCTCAAAAACCCTGTACTGTGAACCCTTCTTAGAGATAGGGAACTTGGCTATTCAGAGGGGGTTGATGAGCTGGGAGTGGGAGAGCTGGGGGAGAAGGGGCTTCCATCTCAGGCCTGGGGGCAGGGCTGCATGGCCAGGTTGCCCTGATGTTTCCCGTGGGCTACTTCTGGGACTAGTTTGGAGTGAAGCCCTTCTGATGGTGAGCGATTTTTCTCCTCACTCACATGGCCTCTGGGCTGCTTCTGTCTATGGGAAGAGCCTCTGCCCCAGCTGCTCTGCTTGCATGCAGATGCTCAGCTGAGACCACCCACACAGGGCTCCCCTCATCCCCCTGCAGTTCTCCAGTGGGTTTTCCAGCCTTGCCAGGAACCTCCGTGCCTCACTGCTGCAGCCAACAGAGCTGGTGTGCAAACCTCCAAAAGGACCAACGCAGCACTTTCTTGGAGCTCTGACTCCTGGCCAGCTCATTGCACACATTGCATGTGAGCCCTAAACCTCATCCAAGAGGCCTGGAATATTTTCTAGTCTTAACTTTTCTTCCAAAACCTACTCTTCCCAGCCTCTGTTTTTCCCAGCTGAGGAGGCTAACAGGAAACAAAGTGGCCACAGCCACAGCAGGAAGCAGAGAGGCCACGTCTCTCTTCACTTCTAATTCCAGAGCTTGGCTTGCGCCCCGATCTGGGATGTGGAGAGAATCACATCATTCATTCCAGGGTCCATGGGAGCCCAGAAATAGCCTGTCCACTCAGCCAAGGGGCGGTGCTTCAGTGTTGATCGTGGCATTTCTGTGGCTAGAGCCACCGTGTAAAGGTGTTGCAAGTGGGCTGTGCTCCTGCTCCTGTCTCCACACCGAAAGCGGGGCCCCTCCAGGAAGGCAGGTGCCTCGCTACCCTCCCAAAGTTCTATTCTCAGGGAGGAGTGGGAAGCTGCCTGGACACTGCACGGCAGGTCTGCATGGAATGGGGTTGGTGGTGTTCAGAGTGGGAATTTTTCCCAGTGAAGGTCAGTCCTCAGGACTTAAGGATGACCTCATCCTCTGCTTGGCTGCAGAGAAAGTGCCAAAAGCTATCAGACAAACTGAGAAGTGGAGTAGGGAAGTACTATCTTTTGAGTTCATTTTCTGTTGCTTCTTGTAGCTATTTTAAAAGAAGTGAGTCAGTGGACCACAGCAGGCTCAGCTCAGCCACAGGGAAATGTAATCCGAGGGCTCTTCCTCAGCTCACCCAAGCGAATGGGAAAGGGAGTTTTGCTTTTGTTTTTCTTTTGACTTAATAACAGGCTGCTCCTTTGGCGGGTTTGTTTGGCGCTGACTTGGGTTTTGGCCTGCACCTCAGGGTGCCCACACAAATAGCCTGGGCCTTCCCTGTCATCAGGGAGCCAGGAGGGGGCTGCTCCCTGGGGCTGGGTGCTCAGGCGTGGCACGGCTGTGCTCCAGGACCCAGAGCCCCACCTGGCTCAGCGCCTGCAGCATTTTGGTCAGCTCTGGCCCAGAGGAGGGCTGCGAATGTTCAACAAGGTTGCTGGATGCAGAAGTATCTTCTTCCCACGCACACTTCCTTGGAAGGGCGTTTTCGGCTTGGGGGAGGACTTCTTTCTGGATGCCATGCGCATTACCCAGGAACCAAGAGTCCCACAGGATCCCAGCACCAGCCATGTCCTGTGTGTGTTCTTGGAGAGCCATGGTGGGAGCTCTAGGGAAAGGGATCTTCTCTCTCTCTCTGTGTCCAAAATGGGCTGCCCACAGGCCATGGTAGACACAGCCCTCAGGAACCATTCTTATCTTCTACTGAGCCAACCTTCCTGCAGCATGGCCCAGAGCTCGGCCTTGGAGGGTGAGACTCTGGAACCCAGGATACTTAAAGTGAGTGACCTTGATGTGTAAGTGTGGCAGGGTGAGACCCCTGGACCCAGAGGCCAACCGTGAGTGACCTTGAATCTAAGTGTGTCAGGGTGAGACTCCCGGTCCCAGAGGCCAGCAGTGAGTGACCATGATGTCTGAGCGTGCGAGGGTGAGACCCCTGGACCCAGAGGCCAACAGCGAATCACTTTGATATCAAAGTGTGCTGTGCTTGATTCCATGTTCCTTTTAGCCCACGTCCAAGACTAAGGGCTGTCCGTGTCTGGAAAGTAGCAAATACATTCACAGATAACTCCTGAGAAGAGCTGGGATGACTTATTTTTAGCCCCACCAATTGAAATAGCTATTTCAAAGGCTTGGCTGAAGACTCGTCTTCCCAGCCTGTCCTACAAAGAGATGATGTAATTGTTTAATGGATGATTCCGGTGTCCCGGGGAGGCCAACAACTGTCTCTTCTCCTGCACAGCACCCAAAGTCTTGAGTGGATCCCTGGCCCTCTTGGAATAAAGTATGGATAGGGTGGGGAACTTCTGGGAAGGTTGGATCAGGCCACATCAAATTCCCACAGGAAACTTCCCAAGAAAGGCTCCAGGCCAAGGCTTAGCAGCCAGAGGGGAAGCAGTGAATTCAGCCATGCCCCTGCAGTCGGTGCACTGAGACTGGCTGGACATCGACTGCAGCACTGGTTTCCAGCACGCCACCCCCACCACACACACACACACCACGCCATAGGCCTTTGAGCTTTGCTCTGATATGGAGGGCTGGTTCGAACAATCCTCCGCTGCTCCAAGTGCCAACATGTTCACATGAGTATCTCACGATTAAAGGAAATAACTTTAGTGGAGCAGAACTGAGCTCTGGCATATCCACAGCACAACAGGGAGTGGTTGGTGGTGGTGGAGCGGAGTGGCTTCTGCCTGGCCAGCCAGCACCATGGCCATCCATGTCCAGGATCACCAAAGGACCCTGCAGCGATGGTGTGAAACAGGCAGTCAGCCATGGCTCACTTCTGAGGAAGAGGCAGCTCTCCTCAGAAGCCATCCCAGATCCACCCTGGCTCTCAGGAATTCAACAAATATGATAAAGATGAGAAGGGAGAATATATGAATTATTTTTTGCAACACAAGACTAGAAACATCTGCATATTTAAATTTCAATTCCTGTTTTTGAAACAATTTACTGTACACTTGAAGATAACTCAGCAAATACTTTCTTACTTTATTGGAAACAGTATGCATTAGGCTATTTGTATAGCACAAATTCACAGGTCATGATACATTACAGTGAAATATCACCTAACTGGCCAAAAGATTCTTTTCTATTATTCACCTGCCTTAGTGAGAGAGGTGTAAATGGCTCTTATTTGAACCACAGTGAATCCACATATTCAAGTTGGCTTCTTGGGAAATTTCAGGCCACAAATGGCAGTAATGTGATCAGGAGCAGTAACATGGTAGGTTCCACTGCCCAACCCACAGCAAATTAAATCCATCACAATAAAGTCAAACCAAGAAAATTAAAAGTCAAGAATATCACCAGCTGGAAACCAATCTCTCAAGACCTCAATGATGAGCTTCTGGAAACAAAGCCTGCTTCCCCCATGTTGCAAGGCCTGTTTCCGCAGGCATGCGTGTTGGAGAGCTTGGCTGTGTGGTGTGAGTGCCAGACGTCTTAGCAGGACCCCAAAGTTCAATCCTTGGGAAGCCCAGGACTATTTTAAAATATAAGTGCCAAACATCTGTAATCAAACTAACTCAGATTACTAACGTGTAACCCTCAGTCATATACAAAAAACGAAAGTCAATATAACCAGTGTAACCTTTCTTCCATAACAACGGCATAGTGACTAGCATTTTTAATGAGTTTGTTACCAAGAGGGGCATCCAGTAGTGTGATGGGGCCAGCTGGTACTGGCTAATGAGAACCAGTTGTTACATCTTTCAAGAACTTTGCAAGCCAGTTGTTAAACACAGCCATGATCAAAATTAAAATAATATAAACTTACAATTAAATAAATTATATTAAACATGAAAGTAATAAATACTCAAAACACTCCACTTCCTAATATTTTACCACTACATTTCAAGACACAGTGGCAGCTTGTTAGAGGATTTGGTGGGAGTATTTATACCATGGTAATAGGCAAAGGCTAAAACCAGGGGTTTCCTCCTCCCCTACCAGGAGCAAGTGGTTGAATATTTATCATCACACTGCTGAGGTTTCCCACAGATAATGACCTGAGCCAGCAGTTCTGTCTGTGAAGAAAAGCAACCTTTTCCCCAGTAATGCTATCTTTCTAGAACAGTTCCCACGATACGGGCTGTATATTAATCCGTCAAGGAAATGCTAGGACCCTTCCACCTTCGCGAGTCTGTTGTCCGCCACCAGGATCACTAAATAGCGGAAAGAAGAGCGTTAAAGGTGATAGCAGTTGGTGAACTGGGAAGAGAGTCTCTGGCAAGTACCAAGATGCTCTCTCTTCGAAGATGGGAAGGGCAGTTTGGGTTTTATGGCTCACAAGGCTGGTATCATATGTATTCAGCAGGTTTGGGGGGAAAGCTATATATATTTATGAGGACAGCCAAGCACATGCACAGTGGGCAAACATGTATGTCACATACATCCCATGTTCTCTTTGGGGCAGGGTTTTGGCATTAAAAGAAAGTGGAATTTGGCTCTCTACAACAAAAAGTGAACCACAGGACACAAAGACAGTTTGTGCACAGCCTCTGTGAGCTGCTGAAACTGGCTCAAGGTCTGCAATTGCTCATTAGGAAGGAACGTTAGTAAGGGTGTCCTCTGTCCAATCAGAGTTGTAGTGGCTGGGTTGTAAATCTGACTTTGGAGGGGTCTGATAGTGCCATTGTTAGAGTTTACAGCCGTAGGAATACAGAGATTAGCCATGTCAGGCAGGCCCTAGTCCCTAACCTGTAGGTAACTTTGTTTCCTTAACCGTGGTGTCTGTCTTAGTTGATACAGAATGTTTATTTTGATCTTTCAGATGACAAGTCACAATTTAGGAAGGGTGCCCCAATCGTTTCATGATTCTCACAGCAGCCCAGACAGGCAGGCAGAGCAGTGTTCTTTCCTCTTTAATAAATGAAGGAGCTGAGCTCAAACAGGTGAGGGGGCTTCCTGGGTTCACACAGCTTTTAGGGTGGGAACCTAGCTTTCCCAGTGACATTAGCCAGATATGGCGGGCACTTTCCATTAACAAACCAAGAATTAAACCAACATGAGGTCCAGAATTGGTGTCCCCTGCTGGAAAAATAAATGGAAACTAATGTTCTGGCAATAGGTAGCTAAAACTTAAACTTATGGTACCATCTGTCTTGACAATCTCAACTCTAGAAATTTACCCCTTAATAAACTAAAGACGTGACTTTATCAGCCCATTTTCATCAGCCCATGTTCAACACAGTGTTGTTTATGGGAATGAACTCAGAGGCAGCCTAAGTGCCTGAGCAGGAGGTTGGGCTAAGTTGGTTGGGTTGCATCATCTTCACCTGGAAACTTGTTAAAGATGCAGATTCCCAGGCCCCACGCCAGCCAGACCCGCTGATTAGGAAACTCCAAGGTGGGGCTCCGCAATCTCTGTTTCAATCAGTTTTCCCTGGATTGATTCTGTTGCCTGCTAGAGTTTGAGAATTCCTAGGTTAAGTAAATTATGGAACAACTAAACACTGGAATGCAATGTAGTGAATAAAGCACATGGGAAAATCTGTTCACAATATTATGATTAAAGGCATATACCAAATAATCTCGGTTGTAGAAAACCTAGAACACGCATACACGCATACATACACACACACATGTAAAGTCTGAAATTTTTCATGACAAACCTTGGAAACATTTATTTTTGCATGAAAAAGAGATTCCCATCCTTTTATTAATCTTTTTCTATGATAATTGTGTAAGAAAACAAGCAATAAATTGCTTCCAGTTTTATTTAAAGGCTAATGAGACTGAAAAACATATATAGGCCCATAAGCAAGATTTTACAAAGCCCCATGCCTCCTAGCCACTCTGTCCTGAGATGCTTCCCGCCAGTCCCCTGGACAGGTCAGTCAGCCTGGATCCCTGCAGTGGACATCAGCCTTTGGGTCCCAGAGCATTCAGTTCACTGGGTGCAGAAAAGGGGCTGGGGTGAGGAGTGGAAACTTGTCGCTGACCACAAGGGGTTAAAACCTAACTGGCTGGGAAGAAGCTGTGGGAAAGATGTGACATTTGTTTGCAAGGAACCATAAACGGTAACAGATGAAGATAGTGACATGTGGCTCAGAGTGAGCCTGATCAAAGCCAGCTGGGCAAGCAGGCTCCAGGCCTGGCTGCAGGAAGAGCTACCCTAGGGCTGGGTTTGGCAGGAGACCATCTGTAGGGGAGGCCAGAGGAGCCTCTCAAGCTATTGGGACTGCCCTGGGGAGTGTGGCCAAGAATTCCAACCCGTTTGGGGGAAATTAGGTATGATTGAGGTTTCAGGCACTTCAAGAAAACCTGAATTAGCTGTTCCAGCTGCTGGGAAGGATGGCCCAGAACTGTCTCCTTAGCCCCATGGTTGTAGAACAGAGAACAGTCATCATTTACCTACCACCAGCCAGGTGCAGAGCACACGTGCCTTCAAGAATACATGGATTCCACCCAGGAATGACATGACTTGCTGCAGGCAGGCTAAATCATTCCCTTTCAGTTACTTTCTAAATGGGGTGGTAACTTCATTACGCCATTGAGTATGATCGTTCCGGAGCAGATGAGTTTTGAGCCCCTCCTCACAATTTTCCAGGTGAATTTGCTCAGTTTAATTTGCTCACAGAGCTGCTGAGTTGTGTAGCAGGCGTCGGAGGCAAAGGCCCCTGTCCATCTACAGAGTGCAGGCTTTTTCCATCCCAGAAAGCCGTATCCTCATCCATTCCCACCTGAGCCCTCCCAGTGCCTCCCTCTGCCCTCCCCAGCTCAGGACACCTGCCCCAGCCCACAGCTCTTCCAGCCACCACCATCTATCAATCCCCTTAAGCGGCAGAGCCCCATAAAGAAGCAGTGTGAGCCCAGACTTGGCATTACCATGTCTCCATCCCACAAAGGTGAACACAGCTCTACAATGTTTCTTTCAAACTGTGCCAGGCAAATGCTAGGCACATATTGTAAATTATCATTAACTGAGGAGATGTTTCTTTTTGGGTGGTAGAATGCCTCACTGGTTCCGTGGGCAATCGCTGAAGCTTAGAAATTACAGTACGCCCTCAACTGGCCTGGGCCCAAATACAGCCTTGCAATGTTCGCCCTCACTGCTTTCAGATGACAGCACTCAGTGAGGCTCCCCACTCAGAATGGGGCAGAGGAAGAGGGGCTCCCTTCCAGCCCCAGGTGATGTCTGAGAATGTGACCTGCCCCACCTGCAGGTTCCAGGTGTCACAGTCACCTCCTGTCACCACCCTCTCTCTGATTTTGTTCTTTTCTTCCTCCCCTTTTTACCATCTCTTCCCTAATGTTGGGTGAGTCATCACCACGGTCATTTAGAAAGTCACTGAAAGAAGATGGATTTAGTGTGCCAAAGACCATCTCATGCCCTTCCTGGCTGAAATCTTTCTTTCCTCGAAGGGACATCAAGGGGTTTAAGTGACAAAACTTGCAAAAAAAATCCCTCTTTGGATGTCATTTTCTTTCTAAAAAGCTTCACTCTCCTGGAACTTATAAAAACTCTTTGAAGGCAGATCCCCTTCCTGCCACCCAGCTCTTCTGCCCAGCCCCTTCCCTAGGAAGCTGTGTTGGTGGCCTCCGGCTTTTTTCTAGGAGTGCCCTATGGATCAGGGGCATAAGACTCTGCATGTGTTTCTCTATTGCTTTGGTCACCCCCAGGGCTGAGCTGTACTAGATCCGCAGCCACCATGGAGAGTTAAGAGTTTCTGGATTCAGTGCCTGCTGTTGATCCTAGAGATCCCTATCCTGACTGAAGGCTGCTTCCATATCTGTTCACCCAGCTGGTGGGGATAAAAGCCATCTCTAAGTGAGCTACTCCCAAGAAAGAGAAGAGTAATGAATGCACTCTCGCCCTCCCCCACTGACTCTCTCAACACCCATGGACCCCTGAGCCTGACACATGCCTGTGCCTACGGCTGTGGTCACAGCGTCCCCACCTTCACCTCACCCAGACACTGGGCTGGCTTTGATCTCTCATCTTCGCTTGTTTTCACCATCTTGCTACCCTGTTTGACTTTCTGGTCTCACAGTTCATTCTGTCCATGTTGCTCTCCTGCCTGGGGCTCTCTAGACCACGGTCACCCGCAGAAGCAGCAGAAGTAGTTCTTACCTCTCTCTCTGTCTACAAGAGCAACCTGGCATCATCAAAGCCAACCTGAGGTGTAAACTCAAAGAGGCCAGGGAGGAATGTGCTTCTGTTCCAATGTCAGTGCTCCAGAAACCCTGGAGATATGACTCCGCAGGAACACTAGTGCTCAGACTTCTTCCACACTGGGTGCAGTTTTAGGAGTAAAAGTTCTAACTGCCACAAGAGAAATTCTTGTGCCTGTGACAAAAGAATATAAGCAAGAATTTTTGTTACATGTGGTTTATAGTAACAAAAAATTAGAAATGGCATGCGATAAAAGACTGAGAAAATCACTGGAAATGATTTCAATTAAGAAAAAAACAGCAAAATGTTTAAAAGGTAAAAAGCATTGGTCAGCATGTGGGAAAGGGTATTGCTTTATACTGTTAGTGAGACAGCGAATTGATAGAGATTCAACGATGAGGATTTAGGCAGAAACTACTATAACTTCTATTTTTCATCTCTACCTATGATAACTATCCTAGTTAGTTTCCCAACCTTTTTTTTTTTTTTTTTTTTTTTTTGAGATGGAGTTTCACTCTTGTTGCTCAGGCTGGAGTGCAGTAGCATGATCTCAGCTCACTGCAACCTCTACTTCCTGGGTTCAAGTGATTCTCCTGCCTCGGTCTCCTGAGTAGCTGGGATTACAGGTGTACGCCACCATAACCAGCTAATTTTGTATTTTTAGTAGAGATGAGTTTTCATCATGTTGGCCAGGCTGGTTTGGAACTCCTGACCTCGGGTAATCTACCCTCTTCAGCCTCCCAAACTGCTGGGATTACAGGCATGAGCCACTGTACACAGCCCCAACCTCTTTTTGAGCCAAATATAGCTATTTAAATTTGAGAAGAAAATAGTCCATTTTATTTGGATGCTCATATTATTTCTATAAAAATATTCTTTATAATTGCTTATACTATTTGTTTTTATTTTGTTTTTTTAGATGGAGTTTTGCTCTTGTTGCCCAGGCTAGAGTGCAGTGGTGCTATCTCGGCTTACTGCAACCTCTGCCTTCCAGGTTCAAGTGATTCTCCTGCCTCAGCCTCCCAAGTAGCTGGGACTACAGGTGCCCATGACCACACCTGGCTAATTTTTGTATTTTTAGTAGAGATGGGGTTTCACCATATCGGCCAGGATGGTCTCAAACTCCTGATCCACCTGCCTTGGCCTCACAAAGTGCTGGGATTACAGGCATGAGCCAACATGCCCAGCCTATTTGGATATTTTTAATATTTGTAGTGCAATAGCAACAAATGTTTACTAAGCATGTACTTTCTGCCCAGTACTGTCCTGGCAGTAAAAAAGATAAAATCCTTGTCCTAAAGAAGCTGGCATTGCTGTGGGGGATGAAAAAAATGGATGAATAGAAGCATAAATGCATAACATAATGCCAGTGGCAATAAGTGCCCTCATGATAAATATAGCATGGTAAGAATACATAACCAAAGGTGTGTTCTCGGGGGAGGCCTCCCTGCAGAATGATGTGGGGGAAGAACACTGAGTGGAGAGAGTGATCTGTTATTTGAGAATCTGGAGAAAGAGCTTTCCAGGTTGCATAAACAGCCAGTGCAAAGACCTAGGATAGATAAGGCATTTTTAAAGTCTAGTAATTCCAAGTGACTTTCCATTTGCCTACCAAGGATTCCCCTCTGTTCACCTTTCTGTTCAGTTTACCTGAAAAAATATATATAATAATTGTTTAAGCTGGTGACTGCTAATTTCAGCATCTGGATTATCATGGGTTTACTTCTAGTGTCTGTTTTCTCTTGTTAGGAGTCATGTTTTCCTGCTTCTTTGAATGCCTGGCATTGTTCCTTCAGACATTGTGGATGATACATTACAGAAGCTCTGGATTCTGTTATTTTCCTTTGAAGAGTGTTGATGTTTAGTTGTTCTATGTTTCCTTAGATTCTGTATTTGTCTGCTAAGCATCCATTAATTACAAGGCCAAACTAACAGCTACTGTTGTGTATGTCTGCCCTGTGGTCCAGTTTCTCTAGGTGCCTGAAAAATCTTATCCCTGGCCGGCCACAGTGGCTCACACCTCTAATTCTAGCACTTTGGGAGGCTGAGGCAGGCAGACCACTTGAGGCCTGCCTGGCCAACATGGCAAAACCCCATATCTACTAAAAATACAAAAATTAGCCAGAAGTGGTGGCATACACTTGCATGAGAATTCCTTGAACTCTGGGTGCAGCCTGGGTAACCGAGTGAGACTCCGTTTCCAAAAAAAAAATTTTATCCCAAACTTTCTCATCAGTCCTGAGTGTGTGCCTCCAACCACCTTCTTTACCTAACTCTTGCAACCAAGCCAGTATTTTCCCTGCCCTAAATCACCCAAGGCCAGGCACTCAGACAATTGGAGACCAAGCCCACCAACCCTATTCACACTAGCCAGTACTAAGTTGCTTCCCCTCTCCTGCCTTGCTTTTCCCATGGAAAACACAATAAAGGCTCTGCGACATGATTTTCCCTGGCTCTTTCTACCTGTTGGCCAAACCTGGTGCTTTCTCCCTGTGGCTTCATGGGACGTGGTATGTCCCCTTCTCTTAGGAAATGTAAGAACTCTAATAAATTATTCCTTCAATGACATGAGCTCTCTGTGTTGTCTTTTAGTCACCTTTAAAATTAGGACCTGGGCATAAATCATTAGTCTGGCAAGTTACATTACTGGTAAGTTACCTTGATTCTAGAGAATCCTGATTTTAGGCTGTGTTGGCTGGGTCTATTTCAGTTCTGTCTCTAGTACTAGGGCACAATTGCTAGTCTTGGTTTTCATGGGAAGCCAGCTGCTCTTACCAAGTATATTAGTGTTCTCAAGAGAAACAGAACCAACAATGTGTGTGTGTGTGTATGTGTGTGTGTAGGTTTATTTTAAGGAATTTGCTCATACAATTATGAAGCTTGCAAGTACAATGAGCTGTATGGGCCAGAAGGCTAGAGACCCAGGAAGAGTTGAGATTGCAGTTCCAGTGTAAAGGCCACATGCTGCAGAAGTCCCTCCTGCTCAGGCTTTGCTTTGTCCATGCCTTCAAATAATTAGATGAGCCCCACCCACATTATGGAGGGCAATCTGCTTGACTCAAAGTCCACCAACTTAAACATAAATCTCATTCACAAACACCCTCACAGACACATCCAAAGTAATGTTTGACCAAATATCTGGCACTGTGGCTCAGCCAAGTTGACACATTCAATTAAGTGTCACACTAAGTCCTTCTATTGATACTTTGGCAGGACATAAACTTCAAACTTTGTCTCTTAATGGCAGGACAGCTGCTGAAATCTCTACTCAGCTCTTTTTAGCCTTCCAGCTGCTGTTTTCCACTGAGCTCCTTAGCATTTCACTCTGTGCATGTCCAGTTTGGGAGTCAGCCATGGATTTAAAGGGAATTTTAAGGCAGATCTGGGGGCTCTTCCAAAATCAAAAGTTGCTTTCCAAAATTGAAAATTTAGGGACTATTCCCTTAAATTATAGCTACTATGATGGCTTCAAACCCCAACCTTTGTCTTCCTAGCACATAAAGATTACCACATCCTGCTAAACCTTCTTACCCTGTGTGCAATATAAACGCGAACGGGTCATCAGGAGTAGAGCTAAATAAATGTGGAGCTCACCTACTTCTTTTCTTTTAATGGCCAATTACTTACAAGATCCTTCCTTTGAAGCCAAGGTCTAGCGTCTTTCGGCAGCTCTGGTAAATTGTGTTCTCTCGTCTGATCTGGGCATTTTTTGCACTGTCTGCTCCCTCCTCCTAGAACACCTATTAAATGAGCACTAGAACTCCTGGATCTTCCCTCCGCATCTCTCAACTTCCATTTCACAGAATCACCACTGTCTTTCTGCAACTCGCTTTCTGAAAGAGAAAATTGATTTCACAAAACCCAGACAGCCAAATGGCTGAACGCATTAGCAGCTCGTTTGCCCCCATAGACTTCTTGACCCTCCTTCTGATCAGCTGCAGTCCTGCTCAAAGCAATGTCCTCACCCATCCCAGCTTGCCACGTGATTTCATGCTTCCAGGCATTGTCATGCCGGGTGCCAGACACCCTGTGAGGTGCCCCAGATACCCTGCCTGCTTTTCTGACCAACAAACTCCTTTGTGTCTGGACAGAGATGTTACTCTGATGGCCACTGTGATTTTCTCTTTTTCCTGAGATCCAACAGTGCCCTGTTCACACCTCAAAAGCAGCACTCACTTTTCCTCTTTGCCTGTAGTTTCCTCTGCCTTCTGTGTTTTTTCCCATGGTGTCTCATACCATACTTTAGAAGAGGGAACATTTATAGAGCACCTACACATTTTGGCCACTATTCTAAGTGTTTTATGTGCAATAACTCATTGGCAAGTCGTAGTGACCCTCTATAGCCATCATCATCATTACAAATGAGAAAACGAAGATGAAGTTGAGTCACTTGTCAGGGGTCACACACAGAGAGTAAGCAACAGGCCAGGAGGAATTAGACCTCAGCCAGCTGGATTAGAGCCCACACCCTTAACTGTGCCAAAGGAACGATTCCATTCACGAAGGGACACACTGATCGTCGTGCAGGTTGTTAGAGTGCATGCAGCTGTGTCTACAAAAGCTAGGCTGAGCGTACAGATATAACTTACATGAGCAAAGTATCCATAGGATGTGACAGGTGCTTGCCACCATCCTCTGAGAAGGCTTTCCCCTGCTCCATTGTGCCTTTTTTCCTTTTGAGACCAATTGTTTCCTTATGGTCATCAGTAGCACTTTCATCTGGACAGAACGAACCCAGGCCAAGCCCTGATGGGAGGAACGGGAGCCACCAATGAGAGCAGACCTCAGAAGGCCAACAGAGGTGAGAGGAGCCCCATCCACAGTCCCATCCTCTGGATGCTGTGGGCAGAGGTGCACAGAATGCTGCCCCTTGGAGTGAGTCGGTAGCAGAGCCCTTGCTGATGGCTGCAAATGCCCCATAAAAACGTGTTTGGGATGATTCTGGGACCTGGTTTCAATTTCTTTTCTGCCAGTCAGCAGTTGTGCTTGACTCACAATTTGTTGCCATCTCCTGAATTAACTCAGGAACCGGGAAAAAGATCAGAACCACATTGTAAAGGCTTCCTTATGGTTCCTTTTCTGCTAAGGTAAATAATGGGCAGCTCTGTTCCACCTCTCTGGAGAGCTCAGACCACACTACCAGGAGCTCCTAGCTGCAGAGTGAGCACAGGCTGCTGGTCTCTAGATGAGGAAAGACAGCAGTGTCCAATCTACCCTGCTTTGCACGAGCCCCAGGTGCTCTCCCAGACCGTGTTGCTACATAAAGCACATGGTGATTGCGTGATGCTAACCAGAGCAGCCCGTCACTCATTAGAAACATCTGCTTTGCTTTATTTACACAAGAAAAGCTTTTTCTTTTACTGAGCCTACCCAGTTCAAACTTAAGTGGGATTTGTCAACTATCTGGCTAATTTTATTTTCATGAGCAATAATAAAGATTGGTGAACACTTGGTTTTTGTATAATTGTAATCAATTTTGTGTTAAACTTAGCTTAAAAGAAATTTATCTTCATGAGAAAAATAGACAGACTTTAGTGAGGACTAATCAACTAAATGCCTGACCAGAGTTCTTCAAAACTGTCAAGGTTATCAAAAACAAGGGAAATTTCAGAGATCGTCACAACCAAGAGGAGCCTAAGGCGGCAACGTGACTAAATGTCATGTGGTGGTCTGGATGGGGTCTTGGACCAGAAAACAGGATACTAGATAAAAACAGGAAATCCAAATAATGTGTGGATTTTAGTCAATATTAATGTATTAATATTGGCTCATTAAATTGTGACAAATGTTCCATACCAATGAAAGATGTTAATAACAGGGGAGACCAGTTGTGAAGCATTCGGGAACTCTCTCAACTATACTCTCAACTTTTGGGTGAGTCTAAAACTGTTCTGAAATAAAAACTTTATTTAAAAATATGTAATGAGGCTGGGCACAGTGGCTCATGCCTGTAATCCTGGCACTTTGATAGGTCAGGACGAGAGGATTGCTTGAGTTCAGGAGTTCGAGACCAGCCTAGGCAACACGGTAAAACCCTGTTTCTACGAAAAATACAAAATTTAGTACCACTGCTCTTGTATTCTACCACGCGCCTGCAGTGTACTAGTGAGGTTGAAGTGGGAGGACCACCTGAGCCTGGGGAGGTCAAGGCTGCAGTGAGCTGTGATTTGTGCCACTGAACTCTCCGGCCAGATGACAGAGTGAGACCCTGTCTCAAAAAAAAAAAACAAAAACCCCACTATATGTATACATATGTAAATTAAGAATGAAACAGAAACTTCCATAATTTCACCTTCTCTGAATTTTGGAATTGTGTAAAAATTGTCCCAAACTAATGATAAGTAATAGCCCATGTTTACCAAGTGCTGACTACATGTCAGTGTGCTAAGAACTTCACACGTGTTACTGATCTAATTCTCACAATCATTAACCTGCTGTACAGATGTAGAAACTGAGGCACAGCACCATTAATTTGTCGAGCTCAGAAAGCAGCTTTTGGTTGCAGGGCTTATATACTCTACCACCACCCTGTACTGCACAGAGCAGGGCCGCAAGTGAAGGGATGGTCATGAGTTTGTAAAAATTCCAGGACTGTGAACACTGGCATGCAGGATATGCTGGTAAGGGGGCTGCGACATTCAAGGCCCGAGTGACTTCTCTGCATCTGAACACACAGCCTGGGAGATGTGCCACTCATTTGTCATCTGATGATAATGTCCTCATGAAAAATCATATTCTTTGAAGGGTGATTAATTAATCTGACAAATCTGAGATTATGACAAATGACTTAGAAGGGAAAGAATCAGTCATAGCCTGGACTTGGCCCCATGTGGACTTCCTATCACAGGCCACTGCCCCTTCTGCCTGCATCTTCGTGTCTGCTCAGTGCAGCCTCTCTGTGTCTAAGCAGCCCACCTGCACACTCCATCTAAGGGGAAGGACCCTACCACTCCTCCAAGATGGTTCTCCTCATCTTCGCTCATAAAACCAAGAGCACGTTCTAGAATAATTGTTGACATGAGCTTTTAACCCTGATTTGCAGGTTTGAACACCTGTAGGAAGGTGAGGTTCACTCTTTCCAAATGCAGCCCATCCTTGTCGTCACAATAGCCTAGAAGACCCAAGACCCATTTGCCGGGCTCTCTAAGGCTCTCCACATCCTAGCCAATGGCTCCCAAATGTGGGGTTGTTATGAACTCCCTCTACCTCCCCGACAGATTGATCCACCAGCAAGTCCTGGCATCCCTTTCCCTAAGGTACATCTCCAACCCTCCGCCCTGCCCCCACCCCTCGGCCCTGCCCCCACGCTCTGCCTCTTTGCTTCCAGCATTCCACTGGAGCCATTCTCACTTCCTGCTTGGACTGCAGCATGGATGCTATGGGAACTCTAGAAGTTGCAGAGGCATGCTGGCATGCCGTGACTCGTTTGAGAGTCACAATAGCACTGATATTTTTGTTTCCAACTGCCTAGCTTGTCTGCCTCTCAGCTGTTTCCCAACTCTGATGATGGAAAGGTTACATCTTCAGGCTCTGTTCAGCTCAGCCTCCCTCTAAGAACCCTGCCTGCTTAGAAAGAAGTTTATTAATTCCTCCAAACCTGCATTTATTTACTAGAATTGCATGATATGTGCATTTTTAACATACATAGAGGAGGACACTCATACATATACATGTTTATGTATTAATTTGTATAGATTTGATGTAAATACACTTTAAATGAACAGATATATACATTGATACTTCTACAGACGATTTTTAACTTATTGACCTTGCCAGATAACCCTTTCTCATCTCACCTTCCCCTCCTTCCCATACTGAGTCCTGGAGGCTTCAAACCACAGCCACTTCATCAGATCCTGGCGGGCTGCAGCCATCTGTGACCTGCTTCACCCATGCAGGATGGCTCTTCCTCCTGGTGTTTGTCCCCTTCCCTTTGGGCATGGTGTTCTCCATGCTGTGGTGGGCTGTGGTGGTGGAAGCTGTATGTGTCCTGGGGTCCCAGAACTTAGAAGGCTGGGAGGATGGGGCTTAGTCCAGCCTCTGGCCTCTGCTAGCATATTGTCAAACTACAGGGTGAGGCAGTAATGCTGGAATGGCCCTGACTCAAGAAGCTACGCCAGCAGACCCAATGGACTCCTTGGGTCACCTCCAAGTGACCTTTTAGTCACTTCCAAGAGCTACTGCCCATTGGACCCTGTGTCCCCAGGAGCTGCTCTTATGGAGAGGAGCTGTCAAGGGGGACTTCAGAGAGCTTCTAATAGGCCTAGGAGGACATCCAGAAGGCAGCCATTGAGCTTGGGTGTGGAGAGTAGGCCAGAGAGACCTCAATGTCAGGGCACCCTGCCTGTCTGCCTCCCAGGTGATGTCAGCCTTTATGACCCAAGGAGAGGATACTGGCCTTCAGCATAAGTCTCTCTGTTCTTCACCTGTGAAACCTTGTGTGGGGCTAAAACAAAACCAGAGTCCAGTGGTGGTGTTGGAAAAATATGTCATGAGGTGGGGTTGGGGAGAGAACACCGTGGTTTTGCTGTGTGTACAGAAGGTCAAACCATGGCTGAGCGTCCAGGAGCGTTCACCTTCAGTCACAAGTGTTTCTGCCATTCACAAACCAGATGTCTTAATTAAAATGCTGCTAAAGGAAGCAAATCAATTAACAGATCACATACAAGGTGGTTCATTTTATCTTACACACAGAAAATTGCTTATGAGTATCACGTTACCACTCTTGGTTATCAGTTAACAAAGGCTGCTAATGAACAGCATCGTTATCAAGTCGGATAAGAGACGCCCTGGGAGTCCAGGCAAATTATGACAACACAGCACTTTGTTCTGAAATATAGCTCATCTTTCATCACACATGAGGAGAGCAGCCCAGTCCGACAGAGTTCCTGGAAACTGGAAAGGCAAAGAATATTCCGTGATGTGGTCCAGGAAACACAGGGTTAATATTACAAGGGAGAGAAATGCTCATGGGGCCTTAGTGTGGTGGCAATTGTAGAATGACGTGGCTTTCCTGAACCTCCACCAGTCATGTCTTTTATGCACCAGCCATGCACATTGTAATAATAACCACAAAATAATTATACAAGGAGAACAATAATAACTTACATTCATGGCCCTCTACAAGGCATGGCATCTGCTTTCTCATTTGGTCCTTCCTTAGCTCTGTCCTTTGAATGTCTGAGAGCAGCAGGCCCATCCCATGAACACCAAAGGCCTTCCACCAATGCCAGGCCAGCCTGCCATTTCCACTCCAGGAGGCCAGTATTCATCGATAGGGCTGGAGACTGTCCCAGGGACCCCATGTTTCAGGGCTCCTGAATCTTTAAGAAGGGATCTCCCGGCAGCTAAGAAGGTGAAGCTAATCATTCAACAAAGTGCTGCCTAACTGTTGATAAGATGGCAGTGTGTAGGAAGTTGTGTGTTGGGTCCTATTCCCTTGTTCATGAGCCATTTTCTGTGGTAGGTTCCAAGAACATGGACACCATGCCCTTGTAGAAGCATGAACAGCTCTAACACAGGGTGAAGTTTGAGGTGTCCATGATTTCCTACTGCAGGCTAAAGTGCTCAAGCCTCCCTCTGTGTAGTCCACTTCTTGCGGAAGAGGAGTGATATTTTCCTTCAGGACAGAGGCACTGTAGATTCTATTCCTTCTATTATTTTTCTCCAATATTCAGTCCATGTGAAAGTCTATTACCATTACTTGGGTGTTCAAATTCAGAACATCCTGAGACGGTAACTGTGGGCCCTTGTCCACAGGGCTGGACTCCCTCTTCTCATGGCTGCTCACCTACAGCTCAATCACCTGTGCATCTCTGGAAAGGAAGAGAACCATCTGGAAGACTTATTGACAGAACTATGCTCTAATTATTGCATGTGTTTATGCAACTCACACAATTAAACAGGTATAAAAGAGCTCATCAGCAAAACCTGCAAGGTGGGACACTTCCTTGCACAACATAGAAAAGTACCTGAAGGCCGGTGGCTTCTGGGTAAAGGGGAGAGCTCAACCTGGAAGTTGTTTTCTGTCTGCCAAACCCGAGGCAAACAAAACCTCATCCACTTTGATGACAAAAAGAGAAGTCATTCCTTGAGTTTAATAGGCATATTTTGGGGAACATGTCACTTTCTGTAGTTGATGAATTTGCACAGATCTGGGCAAATGCTACAAGGAACAAGGTAGTCTATGAGAATGGAACTGGGAAATAATGCCTTCGCATCTGAACTACAAGCTGTTACAAAGGGCGAGACTTCTCCACACTTGGTGTACCAGCTCTGATGGAAGGGAAGGGCAGCATAAGTGTCTAAAAAAGAAGAACATGGAAGAGAACAACAAATCTGAGTCAACAAACCATATCCTGATACAATAGAGCTCGGGCTGAAAGTAGGATGCAGACCCTGCTAAGGGCCTCACTTACACCTCCATGCCTTGATATCAAATTCACACCCTCACTGGAGTCTCACATAGACATCTAGAATATAATAGAATGGTATATATGCTTACATTGAATGATGCAAAATTGTTTATGACTTTCCATTGTGCATATTCAGTCACAGTCTCCTGACAGCTAAGATCTCCCCATAAGAGACCAGTCAGCAACATCAGGAAGGCAGGACAGAGTGAAGCATCTTTGGGACAAGCCACGTCAAAGGACGTAAAACAGAAAGCCCGTATTTGCCCACCCCATATTTGAAGACCAAGGACATGGGTCAAGGTCAGGTCTATGGAGCTTGATGGCAGTAGAGCCAATGTTAAAGACAAGAAAGACATTGGAAACAAGCAAGATATGGTGAGAGGAAGTGGCGGGAAAAGTGAAGGAAGGGATTCCAAGCAACGTCTCAAATGCCATCAGGGGTTTGTTTCTCCTTTAAAGGGTGGAGGGTCCAGAGGAACATGGAGTTTAGAGGGCGGGGGGGGGGGGGGCTGAGCAGAAGATTCATCCTTCCTAGTGTCTTTAACAAGCCCTGCATTAAAAGGCCCATTCAAGTGCTGATAAGGAAGAGCTCTAAAGAGGCTGGAGCTAGCCAGGTTTGCACTTAAGATACCAATGCTCAGAGTGGATAGGCAGCCCAAGAGAGCAGCCTCCTCCCACCCCTGGCTGCCCTGAGCAGAAGAAGGGGCATTGCTGAGCTACCTCAGGGACGAAGTTGTTCTCTGGCAGGTAGGAATATCTCTGTGTACAGATATGTCACCAGCCACCAGCGAGCCAGGCACAGTCTGGCGAAAACAAGGTAAGGCCAGCAGCATCTGGGGTAGCATCTGCTGGCTGAACTAATAGGTGAATTAGGCTGCATCGTTCCCTAGGCTGGCACAAAGAGAAAGAGCAAGAGAATGTTTCATACCATACGATTTAGTGGCTACTAAACCCAAATCTTTGACCACATCCTCCAAAAATCACATAGACCAAAAAGGAGAGAAGGAGAACAACAAAAACAAAAGTAAAACCAATAACAACGGTGCCTATACATTCTGGTCAGCACCATGGTGTATCTGTTTAGGCTATATCAATGCCTGATAATACTAAAAAAAAAAATCTCTGGCAAAATCCAACACACATTTCTGATTTTTAAGACTCAGTAAAATAGGAACTGACGAATGCTCATTAACGTGGTAAGTTATATGTGCTTCAGCTCTAGAGACAGCATCCTACTTCTCAGGGACCACTAGTAGATTTCCCACTAAAGTCTGGCAGAGGCATGTTGTATGCACACTGTTTCCACTATTATTTATCATTGGTGTTTTTAGCCAATGCAATCAGAGAGGAGAAAACAATTAGAGGCGTAGGAATTTGGAAAGAAGATCTATATTTTGGCAGATGACATAGTATTGTGAAAACTCAAGGGACGAAGGAGAAAACAGATAAATAGTAAAAGCATTCAACAAGGCAACCACTATAACATTAACATAATCCCCCAAAATCAAAATACCATCAATGACCAGGTAGGAGACGTAATGGTGAAAACTCCATTTTGAAAGCAGCAAAGGCAAAATACTTAGGAATAAATATAACAAAAAGTGAAAAAACTTTATAAGAGTGAAATCTGAAAACTCTCCTGACACACACAGAAGCAGATAATTTTTATGAAAAAATTACCTCTTTTCCATGAAGAGCCACTTACCATTGTGAGGAAGTAAATAATTTTTAACTCAATATATAAATGGAATGTAACCCCAATTTAAATATCGAGATGTTTGCTTCTTTTTTTTCCTGAGTGTTATTTTTATTTTCTTTACTTTGGTCTATACAAAAACCCAATAACCAAAAACACAAAGCAATCATAAAGCTCTCCACTGGGACCCCTCCTCCAGCCCCCACACCATGAAAGACTTGTTTCTGTAGAAAGAGTGTGAAGTTGATTCAAGAATAGCTGAAACAGAATCGCAAGAATGTCCCCTGCAAAGGAAGCACAACGTGTGTGCGGGTGAAGGAAACCAGCCCTCCCAGAAGCTAGAACACACTAGAAGCCTCTCTAGGTAAGAGTGTGGCACCAGCATATGAATAACCACAAATGCCAGTAGAGAATAAAGTCTAGAAATATCCCAGTACATGCAGAAATTTAGAACATTATAAAAGTGGCAAATGAAACACTGGGGAAATAGGGTCGTTTTAAAAAATTGTATCAGAATAATTCAGTTGCCGTTTGGGAAAAAGACAAAATTGGATCTGTAACTCATACCACACACCAGAATAAATGCCAAATGGATCAGACATCTAAGTAAACAATGAAACCATCCAAGTGCTGGAGAAAATATACAGGCATATATATATATATATATATATATATATATATATGTAAATATTTTCTAATTTTATTTTTAAAAATTTTAAAATAAAAAAAATTTTTAAATAAAATTAGAAAATGTTTACATTTTAAAAATTTTTAAATAAAATTAGAAAATATTTACATATAGATGTATGTGCATATATATTTTCTATATAAAATTATTTTTCATTAACTATATTTCTATAAAAGTAACACATAAAAAACAAACCAGAAACTATTGAAAATAACAACTTATTGAAATATTGAAATAGAAACTATTGAAAATAGCAAACTTCAAATGCTGCCCTTCCCTTCCATTGTATATTTTTATAACATATATATGATATATATATAACTGTATATTTTAATATACAGTTATAAATTATATATATAATTTTTATATATAAATAACTGTATATTTTATGTACAGTTTCACACTACATAATATAGGTAGTAGGTAGGAACAGGGTGGAGTGGACAGTTACAGGAGAAAGACTTCTCTGAGTTTATCTGTTCACACAGTTTATCTCTGAATCATGTACATAACACGAGATTCAGAGGTAAATGGTGTAAACAAAACTATATGTTAAAATTTAAAAAGATTAAAACAGGAAACAGTAAAATAGAATACACACTAAAACAAGTGTTTCTGACTGTCCAGTTGATAGCATAACCACACAGAGAATATAATTAATTCCATTTGAACACAAAATGCTGGCTGTAAACCCCTAGAGAGCTAAACTCTAAGGGCAAAAGCCACTGCAAAGAAATGTGCAAGTTTATTGAGCAGGTCTATAGCTGTACAATGCTCTAATTTCTGGAAGTATTTTGTGTGCATTATAGAATAGGGAAAATGAGTAAAAATATTATGTGGTTGAAAGCTGGGTTTTTACTTTGGAGAAGGCAATCTAGACATATGGAATGGGGAAAGCTTAGGAAAAATCTTATGATATTGAATTTGTAATTAAAATACATATTCCCTGACTGTCCATTGAAAGGGTGTAGAAGCAATGGCACCTCAGTAGGCCTGAGTATGCATCGTGCCCCAATCTTGGTTTCTAAAAATTATTCTATAGTAAAAATTAAAATAAAATGAGAGAAAGAGAGAGAGACAAACAGGGACCCTTGGGAAAATTAGACCTTTGTGCTGCCCTTGGGAGCAGAACAAGATGAGCCTGAGGTATTGTGTTGTGTCAGAAGTCCAGCATGTGCTCAAGGATTAATGGGATTCTGTCAAAAGGGCACAGGAGCCACCAAGAAGTGACTTGCACTGGCCAAATTTGAGACAATTTGAGCATCAGAAAGAATCATGATGGTAATGGATTAAAATGCATTGAAATCCACAGTAATAATCTTCAACAAATAGGAGAAGAAGAAAGAGATAGAATGAAAAGGCTTGCTTCTAGATGAATGTCAGCTATTAAATATAGAATTAGAAAGTCAATATTTTGTAATCACCAATGGCAATGACTGCTTTCAAGCAGGATCATGAATAGATATAAAATTATTAGGTGAGGAATTGTTGGGGGTCAGGATATTCACATAGTGTCAAATGCCACCCCTCATATTATTCATACATCTCAGAGGGGAAAATTCTAATCTCTACAAATGCAGAAATCTAGTGGTCACTCCCTTAACCAAGCAAAGGAAGCATCACCAACAGTGACACCATACGACGAAAGATACACAATATCATTTCGTGATATTCTCTACCAAAAACTTCAATCTGAATCTACTCCAGAGGAAACAATCAGACAAATCTAGAAAATGGGACGCTGTATAAGACAACAGGCTGAGGGACTTCTCAGACGACAAGCCATAAGGATAAAAGGCAGAGGGGTTGTTCAACACTGAGAGAGAGTTAAAGAAAAGACAAAAACAAATACAGCTCTTTTTCTGGATTGTAAAATAGCACAATAAAAAATACGGCAATAAAAGATGCTTCTGAAATAACCAGAGAAATTTAAACATGGGCTATATAATAGATGATACTAAATTAGCATTAATTTTCTTAGGAGTGGTCATTGTATTGTGATTATACACAATAGGAGACACAATGGTGCTGTATTCAGGGGTGAAATATCATGATATCTACACTAATTAGCAAGTAGGTCAGCCAAAAAGGGCTTATGTACACAGAGACAGAGCAAAGGGGGCACCATGTGAGTGAAGGGTGATTGTCGGGTTCTTTCAACTTTTCTTTGGATTTGAAAATTCTTCAAAAAGCAGGAGTGAGAGAGAGAGGTCAAGAGACCACCCCAGGCCTATATGACCACCCTGGGCTGGTCAGACAGGGAGGAAATTCTCAGTGGGTTCACCACATGCACGGGGCATGAGGTGAGGAAAAACCAAGCTGGGGAATGTGGATTGTGAAATAACAGTCCTCAAAATCCTAGTGAAGATGCCTTCATTCCTAGGAATCTTCATTCACAGGCTCATTCAATCAGGGTTCTGAGATCCTCCTGTCCCTTCCTGTGGACCAGCCCTCCGCTTGCAGACTTTGTCCATTCTGAGACCCCAAAGCAGCACTGAGATGCAAATACCCAGCCAAACCTAGTATGATGACATGAAGAGATGTTTGGGAATTTTTCATCATATGGACTAAATTGGCTAGTTATTAGATTGGGCACTATAAAAGGATAGGTCTTGGAGAATGAAAAAAAGTTTATCCTATTAAAACCCCATTTTCTCAGCTCTACCTGGGCAAATGCCCCACAGCTTCAGTTTAAATCTTGACAAGTTCCACTATGTCCCAAGGTGATGCTGATTCCTGGTCTCACAGTTGTTCTGGCATGAGGGCTCCTGGCCATGGCCATACCTGCCCATCCCGCGTGACCAGGGTAAGGGAGAGGCCATGCTGAAAACCCATGCAGCCCCATGGAGCAGAGCCTGCCTCTCCTCCTTTTAGTACACGTGATCACTCTTATGACTCACCTTTTGGAGAAATTGTGGTTTCGCCTGCAAAACAAGATAAAAGGATGTTCATTGCCTAAGTCTTAGACGACAGAAAGCAATGCAAAGCTTGCTGCTGGAGAGTGGCTTGTCTTGTCATCAGCTTGCTCTTTGGGGTTTAACTTTCTTATGACTCAGCCTGACTCCATCTAGTGTTAGTTTTGGAAACTTGAATCCTGCCTCTTCTCTCTGAAAGTCCCTCTATTTGCAGAGGAGCTCTGTTATGATACTTGCCAAGAACAGCTCCCTACATGTGGTGAGGGAAACGCATTAATTACCAGGGGTATAAACTCCCATCCAGCCACTGCCTCCCCAGCCCCCCTCTCTCCTGGCCTTTATTCCTTTCCTTCCTCACCCACCTGCTTCCTCTAGCATCCCTCCATGTTTTTTCATGAACTTTGCTTTCAGAAAGTTTATTGTTGAATAATTATTGAAGTCATCTTTCCTGGATTATGGAAAATGCCTTCTATAGCCCTGATGGCTCAAAATAACCCAGAACTTCCAAAAAACACACATAGCAGAGATGCTCCTCTTAGATTACAATGCATGAGAACATAAAAAGCACAGTGACTGTTCATTCAGGAGTGCTTTCAAATGGCCTTGTGTTGTGTTGCTCACAGCAGCATCTTCCCATGTGTGTCAGAGTCCATCATGAATGATCACATGGACATACATATGCATATACACAGGCACTACATGCACACACACACACACATGCACACACACACCAAGATTAAGGATCAGGCTTTATGAAATTTTATTCTATGTGAAGGCCGTAGCTAAGACATTCCTGAAGCATGGTCAGCTCCAAGGTCTGCCAATTTGCAAAGCAAAGTGCTTTAACTCAAAGTGCACCTCAATGTGTGCCCGAAGTTTGGATGGTCAAGGTAGCACACCTATGCTGACTAGAGCTCCAGCACTTTAGAGCTCCCTCTGTGGTGATGTCTTGTGCTAGAAACTCCACGTGTTTCAAGATTCCTGACCACAGGGTCTGAGCTGGTCACAGCAGTCTGTGTCCTCTGCCTGGGTACCTAAGAACCCAGCAGAGGGCCTCTGAGGCCACGTGGTACCCAGGTCTTCACCATGGCCAACACAGCCCATCCATTCAAAACAGGCTCCTCCTGCACTCTCACCACAGACACTACCTAGACCCACAAAGGCAACAAAGGTTCTAGGGAGTCAATCCTCACCCTTCCAGACTCAATCCATGGCCTCCTCATGTCCTGCAAGAGCCCTGTGTGAAAATCCTGATAACAGTCAGTCCACTCTGATTCTACGGTGGGAGAGGCTGACTCAGCACTCAACCCCCAGCCATCTGAGTGCTGCCCTTGAGTCAGCAGGGACCGGGACACCCTCCTGGCCAGGCCCCGCAGCTGTATACTCAGGAGAACCTGTCTTTGTGCCAATCCCCCTAGGGCTAGAAGAAGACAAGAGCTGCCCCAGGGTGAAGGCCCCTTATGACTGGGGGTGGGAGGAGGGGCATGAAGAGCTGGCCAGCATGGAACTCCACTCTCCCACATCAGTGGATTTGGTGGCACTGGGAGCTACTTGGCATGTTTCTTCTATAGAAAAGAATGTGACAACTTCAGCCAATGTGGGTCTGTGTGTGTGAGTGTGTGTGTGTGTGTGTGTGTGTGAGAGAGAGAGAGAGAGAGAGGAGAGCGGTGGGGGAAAGAGAGAGAGAGAGAGAAGGGACATGTGGAATCTTTAGTCCCTCAACCTGAAATATCCCCAATTCCACCACACATTTCCAAAAGCCCCCTAAAGCTGGTTACCTGCCCTGGGTGCAGAGTATGTGACATGGCCAGCAAGAGGAGTCTGTGTGGCCACCAGGGCCTGAAGACTTCACAGGCCCTCTCAACCTAGGTTGACCATACATCCCTGTTTCCCAAGGACTGTCCAGGCTCTTGTCCATCATCCTGGTGAACTTTTACAGAGCCTCTTCTCACTCTCACAAAGCCTTGTCTTGGATGATAAGTTTTAAGGTCACCTTAACTACACCCTGTCTTCTCTAGCCCAGGGCCCATTGGAATGACAACATGCTTGGGGCGGGGTAATAACATGGGAGGGGCAGAGAGAAAGAGAGTGAGAGTCAGAAACAGAAGGAGAGATGTAGTGCTGGGAGACAGGGTTGATGAAACATGCTTTAATGATTCACAATCAGAAGCCACTGCTGAAAACTAGAATATCTGAAGGAGGAGAAATCCTCAAAAAAAAAAGTGAACTAAGAAAGTCCATATCCAGCTCATTCCAAGGGCGTGACCTCATGAGGGCTGATGAGTCCTGACCCACAGCCATAATGCGCCATGCGTCTACCCCTCATGCAGCCATTAATCCATCCTTTCCTCCGATAGACACTACTTGGAAGTTACCCAGTCCCAGGTCCCATGGAAGAACCGGAGGGTGATACTGGGCTCTGGGTACTTTCTAAAAGCCACTACCCCTGTGTCAGCCCAGACCTCTGTCCTAAATGCTAGTCACTTACTAGACATCTCTATGTGGAATTATCCAGAAACCTCAGGCTCACCATGTTCAAAAGAATATCACCTCACCCAGCCTATTGTCCAAAGTTGTCCCCCCACCAAATTCCCAAAGGGCAGCAAATCAGAGAAAACTGAGCTTTCTAGATTATTTTCTCTCCTCCAGTGGCTGTCCCAGCCCCTCACCCCAGGTCCCTGGGCCAGCTCCTCCTTCACTTTGTTCCCATCTTTCATTTTCTCCTTTGCCTCGACCTGGACTTACTCCCGTAAGGCTTGCAACAGGCCAGAGTCTCTATCTGGACTTTCAGCACATCTTCCTGGCTGCAGCTGGGTCTCCTCCATGCTACCACACAACAAAAAATACTCTATCCCTCCTCTGCTTAGAATCCATCAGGAGGTGACCAGAAGTTTCAGGACAGATTTCAGACTCCTTTGCTTAGCACAAGCCCTTCTGACCATCCGTGTGTAGAAACTATTTATCTTCTGATCATCCGTGTGTAGAAACTACTTATCGCTCCAGCCCTTCCTTCCACATGGTCACATGAAACACTTGCTTCTGCTGTGCTGCATGTTTTTCAGCTGCAGGTTTTACCCATGATGCCTACATATACTAGGGTTCCCTCTGCCTTCGTGAGCTTCTCTTAGTCCTTCAGCATGTAACCTGAGGCTCCCCTGCACCGCCCAGTGGCTATGCAGCCCTCTGCACTCCCAAGACACAAGGCAACACATGCTCAGCCCGCCATAGCCCTCCCAGGACCCCCACCACCCCAAGTGTGCAGCCATCACCTGGGACCTGCTTATCTCCCTTGTAGAAGGGAGATTGTCCTACTTCTTTCTCTTTGACCCCCAGCACCTAGCCCATGGCCTCATGCCCACTTATTTATTCATTCATTCAGCACATAGGAAAGTACCCACTTTGCCCCTGGCACTGTGCTAAGTGCTGGGTTACAGGGGTGAAAAGGAAGATCCTACCCTCCCAGAGCTTACATTTTAGAAAGAAACCCTTACAAAATAGACAAATAAATATATCATATAGCAACAAATAGTGCAAGGAAATATAAAGAAAAGTAAAGCCAGGGAAAGAGAAGAGAATTGTGGTTGGGGTAGAGGGGGCATTGTACTTTAAATAGGCTCTCCATGAGGCAGTGGTGACACTGAGGCGGCAATCTGAAGGAACTGAGGGGTGAGGCTTGCAGCTTTCTGGCAAAGAGCATTCCAGTGATAGAAAACAGCAAGTGCAAAGGTCCCTCGGCAGGACGGTCCCTGAGGACATGGGCTCTGCACAGAAAAGCAGGGTGCCAGCAGAGAAACCAGGAAACCTGGGACAAACCATGTGCGGCCTCCCAAGTGACAGGGGCTAGAGACCTCATTCTGAATGGTGGGGTATGCACTGAAGGAGTCCGAGTGGGGGTGGGGCTGGACCTAATCCAGGGTGTGCAGAGGCGAGCCCTGCTCCCTTTGACGATCGCATCATGTGGCCCTCACTCTTGAGGCACCTTCCCACTGGTCTAGAGGAGGAGAAAGTGGAAGGGGGGGCCATGGGGTGTATTCTAGTCACCTCAAAAGCACGCCAGAGTGCAGAGAAGGCTGGGGATGACAGGCAAGGGAGTGGCATGACCAAGACGGAGAGACCACGATGACCTCCCTGACTATGCGGGCAGTGGCCTTACCTTGGGGCTCTCTTCTTTAGCGGGTAGGTGTCTAAACAGAGAAAGCGGGTATTAGGAAGGAGGTCCTGTGAGGAGAGGGGTAGAGTGTTCCCTTGAGCCTTCACCTCCCCCTCCTGGATCCTCTCCTTCACGGGTAAGAGATCTGGGGCCTGGCTGCTGTGTGGTGAAGAGGCTGTTCCCTCCCCTTATTTATAGAGATACAAAAGGATAAGCAAAATCCCATGACCTATTAAGCCCCTCGGGTGATGCATACGCCAGCATTTTGGGAAGCTTCCTCCTCTCCTGGCCCAGACCAGCCCCTTCTGCTTATCCTCACAGATCATAATCACATATTCCAGAAAGACAGTGGGGTTCTGTCCTCCCCAGAAGCACCCTGTGGAAAACTGAGCTGTCATTGAGCTGAGCTGCCTAATACAACAGAGGATGAGTTTGGGGGTGACACCCTGAGAGAAGGGATGCAAATCAATGCTGCATTTCGGGTGCCAAGGAGGCGGAGGGCTGTGCCAAGGTGTATGTCAGCCAGCTTGGTTTCTATCTGAGGGGTTACTCAGTACTGTTCTGAGAAGGACATTCCCAATTTATGAAAAAAAAATGCATCTTGACCCACACAGGCATTGTCAACAGGACCTCCCACCTCCCACACACATTTAGGACCAGCCTCTCTGCCTCCTGAGACTGGGTTCATCTGATTGCATCATTTGGATGAGAGAACAGAAATTTCTGTGTGACACCAATTTCAGTTCCTCTCCCACCTTTCTCCAGGAAACATGATTCTCAGGAATACCAAGAGCAACTGAAAGGAAAAGTACAGAGGGAAAGAGACAGAGAAAGACAGAGAGACGAGGATAGAGAGACAGAAAAAGAACACGAATAGAGAGACAGAGAGAGACAGAGAGACAGGGATAGAGAGACAGAAAAGGAACAGAGAGAAAGAGACAGAAGAAAGAGAACAGAGGCAAAAAGATAGTGAGACACGGAGACGTCACTGCCTTCCTTTTCAGCTTCTTGGGCTCTGCCCTTATGGGTTCGTTCTTGCTGTAGCCAGCATCAGGGAGTGGCCCTGGGTGTCTTGCTGGTGGGGCAGAGCCAGGCCTGAGCACTGCATCCCTCACCACTGAGGCCCCCAGGTGGGCTTCTCAGGTCGGAAGAGTCGTCGTCAAACAAGTGCCTTCTGATCATGTAGATCTTCAGGGCCAGGAAGCCGGCAGATATGGCGACCCCCACAGCAGTCCCGATGAGGGCATATTTGAAATCTGAAACGTGGGGAGGAATTGAACATGGGCTTCAGTCACCTGCAGTTCCCTCTGCATTCCAGAAGAGGTCTAAAGCATGCATGTGGCCCGTAACACACCACCTCCCACCAGCAGAGGCCAGCCTCACCTTCCACTCTCCCATGAGCCCCTTTGCTCCCAGCCTCTGCCTGCACCCCATCCCCTCTTTCCGAAGCACCATCCCTGGTTCCTTCTGCTATGGAAATTGCTCCCACCTTTCAAGGCTCCCTGAAACTCACCCGGCTACCCCCACCCCAGATGGTGAGTAGCTTACTTCTCTGGCTGCCTTCCAGCCCTTCCTCACTGATCCCTTAGTTAATTCATCCATTCATCTACTGGGTGTGTGTTAATTGCCTGCTCTGTGGTGAGCACTGCAGGAGAATGGATGAGGCCTGTGTGGTCTTTGAGGAGCCTGCAGTCAGCTGGGGAGGACAGGAAAGGAGCTCATGATGGGAGAGGCTGGGTTGGCCTGGAGTCATGGGCTCCCAGAAACTTCTCAGAGGGTGAGGCATGCAGACTGTGCCTGGCTGGCACATGAGGCGCTTAAAGGACAGAGAGGCTGGAAGCTCACAGGTGGAGGGAGGCACCGACGAGGGCTGTGAGCCCAGCAGAGCCTGCTCTCAGGGTCCACAGCTGCAGGACAGGGCTCTGTGGGTGCTGGAGCCACGCATCTGTGGCCCTGAGGTCTCACGTCCCCTGCGTAGACAAGTTCTAAGGCAAGACTTTGTCCCCAGGATAAATCTGTCAGCCCCTCGGGGGTCCTGGAGTTGAGGGTGCCCCTTTTCCTGTGCTGACATCAGGGAACCAATTCCGGCAGGGCAGCCCTCTGCCTGTGTGTCTGGGGGCTCCTTCCTGCCCCAACCCTGTGTGCAGAATGGCATGGGCAGCCACCTACCGATTTCAGGTGCAGGGGGCTTCCCCGTTGCCAGCACTTGAGCTCCTCCTACGTCTGCAAGAAAGAGGTCCCAGAGCCTGGTTAGAACAGAGCACGCTGTGGCCCCAGCCACCCAGTCTCACAGTCCTGGGAAAGCCTGCCCCAGGTACCCCCTAGAAGCACAGAGGTGGGCTCCCAATTGCCATGGAGCATCCTGGAGCCTTGCTGAGACATCAGAGCCCCCTCAAAACCCAGACCAGAAATGCATCCGCACCGAATGCAGTTCAGTCAGCTGTTCAGCACAGTTTCCAAGATCAGCACTCTGACCCAAGCCTGCTCCACAGGCTTCCCTGCAGCTCCCATGGCCCCGCTTAATCCAGCAGGACTTCGGTGCTTCTCATTCCCCACACAGCCAGAGCATCTCCTGCCTTGGGGCCACACCCTCTGCCTGGCCCCTTCTTCCCCTCCTCCCTTACCTGGTCTTGGCTCCATGCCACTTCCTCCCTGACTCCCCAGGCCTGGGTGAGCTGACCCCAGTGTGCTCCACAGCTGTGGTGTTCGCCCGCCGTAACTAACTATGTTGATATTGCAACACATTAACACAGCACTACTGGGCACCAGGCACCATCCTGAAAGCTTCTCAGATATCAGCACATCAGTGTGTCTTCTGGATGGTCTCAGCCTGGGCTGCATGGTACAGTGTCCAGCACTCAATGCAGTGCTCAGCCCACAGGAGGCATTAATAGATGAGGAAGGAAGGAAGGAGGGAGGGAGGGGGAGAGAGGGAGGGAGGGAGGGAAGGTAGGAAGGAAGGGTGGGAGGAAGGAAGGAAGGGTGGGAGGCAGGGAGGGAAGAGCAGGCTGTAAGGGTCCCTCACTCTTCTAGCCAGGCCTTGAAACCTTAAGACAGGAGACACTGTCATAAATAGGGCCCTAGAGAGCATTGCAGAGGTGTGGGCCTTAAAGAGAAAAGTGCCCATTCATTGGCCACTTACTTTGAGGCAGACATTGGGTGTGATGCTGGCATTAACATATTTAATATTCGCAGCAACAGCTCTGTGAAATAAGTACGGTTATTATTGCCATTCAAAAAACAAAAAACGGAGGTGTCGAGGCCTTGCTAATGTGCCCAAGGGCCAAGAGAAGTGAGAGGTGACAGGTCCACACTGAGAGCCCAGGAAGGCCTGCAGATGCAAACGTGAATCCCAGGAACTGACAGATGAAACACCACCATAACCGTCAAGCCCTGGGGCTGCATGGGCTCGGGCTGGGGACAGGCAGATGGTGAGATCCAAGCCTGAGTCTCATGTTCACACTTCCAGGTGAAGGCAGGAGAGGGAAGCAAGTGACTTCAGTGGGGAAGATCAGATGGTATGACAAGGCATCACAGCAAAGACATCGGCCTCCCAACCCTGCCTGCTGACCACCCTCAGTGATGCCTAGAGTGGCATGGTGGGTTGGAGCTCTGCAGGGGACAGCTTTGCTCTGTGTGGGTTTTGGGAGGAGAGTTCAGAATTTTTCTAGCAGCCTAACTTAGTAGACTAGTAAAGCTTCCCCAGGCTTGTTCTAAAGCAAGCGTTCCCAGCTTTGCTCTAATTACAGATATTTTTAGAAATTCAATGACTTCTCTTTTTTCTTTCCCACAGATCACAAGCCCCATGTGAGCACATCTGTTCACCACACAGACACACAGACACCACCATGCACAAGATGGCCCTGATTTCGTCTGCTCTCTGAAACCCCAGTCAGCTTCATTCCATTATCTCGTCATTTCCCTAAATCGATCCTGCTGCTCCAGCTCGGCTGAGCATCGCTCTGGATATAGGGCAAAGGCATGCATCGAATGGAAGGCTGTAGGTGGCAGCATATTTCCGGACTGACGCCCCCAACTCAGAGCTGTGTGTGCTACGTCCTCACCCTTTCCTGCGATGGGATCCTTTCTTGACATCTATGACCTCTGTCTGCCTTTACTGGGCAGAAGGCAGGCGAACAGGAGAGGTAAGGGCCTCAGCGGGTGGGGCCTGGTCCCTGAGCTCCGCCTTACCCCATGCCCTCCCCGTGCCATGCTAGCATGTTACTTGGTTGCCCCTCCGGTCCTCCCTTGGTGGGCATTGCTCCCACCTGCAGCATCAGCATGGAAACTTCATACTAGCCTGAGATGAAATCTGAGCACAGAAGAAGGAAGGACACGGGTTAGAAAGGGTGAGAAAGACAGAGGTACACACAGAGACACTCAAGAGACACACTCAAGCTGTGCCTGAGCCACTCAGACCTTCACTGGGAGGGAAGAGAGAGGAAGAAGAGAAAGTCCTAGCATCAGAAGTCCCCAGCCCTGGCCTTGGTCTCCCCGGCAGCATCACAGTTGCCATTCTCCCAGGCTGGCCTGCATCCTTCCTCATTGACTTCACCCCCCGAATGTGTTGTCCTGAACCCTCGGCTCCTTCTTCCCCTCTCCATGGCTGGGACCCCTGGCTGAGGCTCAGCTCAGTCCCTCACAGAGGCCAGTTCCTTAGACACCATCCTCTATTTCCCACCCTGTGTCCCCTGCAAGCTGTGAGGCTTCCCCTAATCCCTGGCCCCAAAGAGGCTCTCCTCCCTCGGGACTGACATCAGGACTAAGTGAATTCCCACCGCCCCTCCAACTCCACCACCACCCTCACTTGCAGGGAGACCAATGTGGGCAGAGAACCAAGCTCTGCACTCAAGCAGGCAAGGGCCCAGCCCTTCCTGCGAGCCAGCCCCGTGGCCACTCGGCGGCAGCCTTTCCCCTCCTCAGAGAGGGAAATCCCTCCATGCAGCCCTCCTGTGCTTGGAGCTCTGACTCCATGCATTCACAAGCCCTTGGGTAAGGGTCTGTGCTCAGCACAGCAGCCTGGCCGGCCCTGCCCCTGCCTCCTGCTGGGGTCATGAGCTGGGGAGGCCCCCCTGGGCCATAAACCCCCTGCAGGCCTCCTGGACTGGCTGATGTCCCCTGGCTCTGCAAAGAAGCTGGAGGACTGCTGGTCCTAGCAGGCCTGCATAGACATCACAGCCACGGGTCTCCGGAGTGCCCTGGCTTCATTTAGATCTGTGGGAGACCCCAGGAGGAAGCCAGTGAGGACCAGCAGGAGCTGCACCGCACTTTCTCTGTGGGAATTCTCCAGGATCTCATGCAGGAAGGAGTAGCGAGCTTGACACCCACAGGAGAGTCCTAGGGAGGTGAGGTGTGGCTGTGTGGGGCAGGCACCCTTCTTTTTTTTTTTTTTTTTTTTTTTTTTGAGATGGGAGTTTCGCTCTTGTTACCCAGGCTGGAGTGCAATGGTACTCGGCTCACCACAACCTCCGCCTCCTGGGTTCAAGTGGTTCTCCTGCCTCAGCCTCCTGAGTAGTTGGGATTACAGGCACATACCACCATGCCCAGCTACATTTTTTTTTTGTATTTTTAGTAGAGATGGGGTTTCACCATGTTGACCAGGATGGTTTCGATCTCTTGACCTTGTGATCCACCTGCCTCGGTCTCCCAAAGTGCTGGGATTACAGGCTTGAGCCACTGCGCCCGACCGGCAGGTACCCTTCTAAACCTGTAGTAGGCACAGTTCTGGCCAAATCTGACTTGACTCCATCTGACTGCCACCATGGATTACACAGCCCTTGCTACTGCAGAGGGCAGAGGGCAGAGGGCTGCCTTCAGAAGTCCTGCTGAGATGCAGGGGCTTTCCACAGCCTCTACCTGCATAGCTTCCATGTGTGGTCAGATCAGCCCCTGACCATAGGAGCTTTTTCTACCTTGCATGGGGGCACTCTATAGGCTCTTGATTCTAGAGTTTCTGCTTTCTCCCTGATGCCTCCCTGACCTGGTACCCTGTGCCTCCCTGACAAAATAGTGGGCTCCAGGCCCCTCACTCCAGCCATTCCCACCTCAGGCCTGCAGCACACAGATGGCTCTGTAAGTGACTTTCCCAACAATGGCAAGGAGTCCTCTGGAAGAGTAGATGGCCCTCTGTCTGATGTCCCCCCAGAAACATGAGAGGGCAGCCACCCCGGGTCTTGGGGAGGAAGATGGCAGGGCTGCTCTACACAAGTTGAGATGAGCTATTTTGGAGAGAGCTGAAGGCATGGCCTAGCCTTGCCCCATCTCACTTGGAATCTGACCTGCTGAGAGCCTATCCTTGGCATTCAGCTGTCCACCTGTTGGGTCCACCCTTGATGGGGGACTGGCACTCTTTGCCACCCTTATTTGGGCAGAATCAGGCTGTGGGATTTCCAGTTGTGGGCCTGTAGGCGTGCGTGCACTAGATGCTATTCTATAAGTATTTGAACTAAAAATAGGGAGAAGCTGCCCTAAGTGTTTGTCAATGATGCCTGGCCATAGTCATGTTGGGACTTAAATATTGCAGAATGGCTCCTAACTTTAGATCTCATGAATTCCAACATTCTCAGCTAGAGGAAGTGGCTTCTAATGTCTAGGACAGACTTCCTTAGTCTAACAGGGCTCACACATGTAAATAGTCTGTAAGGTGTTCCAGAGGGCCCCAGTGCCTAGGAGAAATGAAAGAGCAACCAGAGACCCTAGTTCCCCATGAAGGAGCTCACAGAGTGACCAAAGAGACAAGATTTACACTGAAGAAATGATGAGAGTGTCATAGGCAAAGCTCAGCACCTTCCCCCAAGCCTCAGTCTCCCAAGCTGGAACAGGATGCAGGGTAGACACTGCTGCATGGCCTGCCTTCCTCCCCTGACCAGCACCTCAGTTTTCCCTAAGCAACAAGACGCCCACAGCCAGATGCCCAGCTGACACTACTCACTTGGGAAAGGGCTTGCTCTGCCTTCAGACCTCTCTGTGGGGATCTGAAATCTCACTATGACCCCAGGGTGGGTAGGAGAGAAGGATATTTGGAACAAGGAGATCTGAGTCCCTATTCTGCTACCCATTGTTCAGCCAGTGGCCTTGGACCAGACACCACTCATCTCCCGGCTCAGTGACTCCATTGCACACAGAACATGGCTGGGCAAGTCCCTGGAAAAAGTGCATGCACAGAGTGAGGTACAGGTAGCAGCTACCCTTCTACAAGCAAGCACACCACCACCTGAGACAGA